ACCCCCGGCTACGCGGGCTATTGGGCAGATGTCTGGGCACTCGTGCCCGCCACCCGCGATTTCAAAGATTTTATCGATATTTGGATTGATTTTAACGTACTTTAGGTATATTTATATGTTTTTAACTTTGATCTTTGCTGCCGATTGAGTTAGACAATTTCCGCCCTTGATTACCTGTAAAAATAGCCGCCTAAAAAGTGCCAAATTGCATGGGATTGCCCTGGGGATTAGAGCCCGATAACAATGTCGTTTTTCCGGGTTTTCTAACGATTTGAAATGATAATTTCATGTAGATTTTAGCGTGTTTCATTTTACTACACAATAAATTTGGTTATTACTTGATTTTTGACAAGTTTCCAGCTGCTTCTGTTTACGTATTGAAAAGCACAACCTACTTTTTATCCAAAGATACCTTTCATTGCTGTTTTTGTCGCTGAATACTTTCTCTTCATGGCCTTATAAGCCTGTTACGATGTAAATAATGTAATTTGGAGCCTGTTGTAGCTTTCCATGCTCACTATTGATGTTTAAAACTATCTGTGGATAGAATACAAGCTACAAATCCTCACCTACTTTTCATCTTCTGGTTCTACAAACTACAAACGCCAATATTTTCGGTCCCAAGCTTTTTTATTTTGAAGAATTTATGTATTTTTGTTTTAAAAGTTCTCCTTTATCTTTTATAAACTCCTAATTTGCGACCTCTCTCGACCTCTTATCGAGTGCAAACTACAACGCATTTCCGGTTCAACTGTTTCTTAAAAACATCCGACTAAGCTATTGCCTAAACGATACTTTCATACCTTTTTCGGTGTTCTCAATTTTAATCTTTTCGGGTACAAACTACAACCCTCATTTCCAGAAGCATCCGCTTTTCCGAACACGCGCCAGCCGTGTTCGAGAATCCGCGGAGCAAAGCCTCGTTTCTCATCTCGGATTGGACTTGGTGTGTGTGCGTTCATCTGTCCACCACCACTACCACCACCAAGCCCGAACGAAGCCACGCCCCCGTCTGCGTCTCTGCCCTCTCCACTCTTTTCTCGCGTCTCTCGCCCCCCATCCGCGGAAGGGCCAAGAGGATTTGGGAGGGCGCTGTGGCCGAGCTGTGACCACCCACACGCCACACCAATTCCACACCCCTGCTAACTGTCCCGATACCTCGACAGTCGCCACCATTCCGCCCGACTGCGCTGCCGCCACTGCAGCAGCGGCAGAAGCTGACGACGCCCCGCCACCACCGCCAATGAGCCTGCCAGGTTAGTAAGGTTTTTTTAAATTTTTAAAACTGTCAATTTGCGCCAATTTTAAGATTTTTATGATCTTTTCCGGCGTATAACTCTTGATTTCGTCTAATTAAGGTCAACGGGATCATTTTTATTACCCTTTTTTCAAACCTAGAATCCATGATTTCCGCTAATTAACCCCAATTAAAGGAATTTTACTACTTTTTCTGGACGTGGAATTCCCGATTTCGCCTAACTAAAAGACTTCAATTGTCTTTCAGACTTAGAATTCTTGATCTTCTCTAATTAAGGCCGATTAGAAGATTTTTATTAGCCTTTTCGGACGTAGAATCCCTGATTTCCGCTAAGCAAAGCCAATATGGCGGTTATAATTGCTTTTTTCTGACGTATAATTCCTGATTTGGTCCTAATCGGTTTTTAGAGCTATTCTGGTAAATTCCTTGTTGAATCCCAGCTTAAAGCCCCAAAACGTCTGAGCTTGTTTGTGCAGTTTTATTACACGAAAGCACAACCTTGCTCTCTCCAGATGTCTCTCTCTCTCTCTCTCTCTCTCTCTCTCTCTCTCTTTCTTTCTCTCTCTCTCTCCCTCTCTCTCTCTCAGTTTTCATAGCTTACAATTACCTTCAAATACTGTTTTACCTGCCTATTTTTTACTCTCAAATTCGGAGCAATTTTGGGCATTTTTCAAACCGCAACAAATCACCCCGCTGGGAGATGACGCCTTTTTTGCTAAAGGGGGGCGAAATTTTTGAAGCGATTAGCCGGCGATGGCCTTCCCCCGAAGAAGAGGGGGGACGACTAATCCGGGTACGAACAGGTGCTCTCTCTCTCTCTCTCTCTCTCTCTCTCTCTCTCCCGTCTCTCCCCTCTCACCGCGTAGATTATAGACCGCCGTGTGTGGGGCGTGTGTTACCTGGGGGTACACACAAACGCATAAACGGGCGCAGCCCCCATCCCGCAGCAGTACCCCCAGAAAAAATGAGGGTTCCGATACACACTATAATAGAGAGGGAAGGAAATAGATAGCGGAAAGTTTAAAATGTTTTTAATGGTGCTAGGAATCCCCAAATCAACCCTTTTTCTCGACTAGATCTGGACAAAGAATCCTAAGTCCTGAAAACCAATTTTAAAGGGACCACCTAGCTCGAGAATACCTAGCCGATATCTTTATGTCATCTGAAATCACTTAAAACGTTCTAACAAAAACGAATCATATTCAGGCTCGTCGTCAGCGTCGTGTTCGGATGAGGAGACGTCGCGCAGTCCGGAGGAGAGCGCGCGGCTTGGTCTCTGGGAGTGCGAGCCCATTTTTTTACCCGCCCACCGCCGGACGACCCGACCGATCACGATGCGGAAAGGTTGGTAGCGCTTTTTAAGAATTTGTTTATGTAATTTTCCCGATTTCGCTTTTTTTAAACTTGACTTTTCCATTTTCCATTTTCCATTTTCTGGGCCCTTTGCCCTATTTTTGCCAAAATTCCGATACGTTCCGCTTGTGTTTCCGGCCCATTTACAGCTTCCGGAAGTGGCTAATTTTATTATATGTCTTTTAATTAAATTTTCTGGTTTTACACCTTATAATTTCTCTTTTTTTTTGCTTTTCTGGGCCCTTTGCCCGATTTTCCAAAATTCCGCGACTTTCCGCTGCCGTTTACTTCCTATTTACAGCCTCCGGAAGTGGCTATATCCCTTATTTGGGCTCTATTCTGCCCTCAAGTCCAAGAAAATGACCTTTCCGCTATGCTCCCGCCACGTCGTCCACCAAAACCGACAATTAGCCCCCTCCGCCTCCACCGCATAGCTTGCGCTCCATGCCCCCCGAGTTCCTTCTCCCAGAGTTATTAGAGGGGTTTGTGTGTTCTCGCTTCTCTCTCTCTCTCTCTCTCTCTCTCTCTTGCCATAAATTGGCCCCTATTAACGGATTATTGGGCCGCAGGGGGGTGCCCGTTTCCGGAGAAGGAAATTATTCCCCGGAGAGGGGAAGTGAGCATGTTTTAGGGAGGCGATAAAGGAACACAATTGGCATGGGGATAAGTACGTAATCTTAAATGTGTTAATCTTTTTAACAGCCTAGACGACAAATCTGGTAGTACGAAGTGCACCTCGACTTTTTTGTCAGCTCGTTGTCATTCGTACTGCAAAGTCTCTTTGCTCTTTGCTCCTTGGATTTTTAATAGTTTTGTCAGTCGAATTTTTCCTTGTTTTTTTGGGCTTCACTAGGAGACAAGCTGGGACCGTTGAAGTTTTGCGATTTTTTAGAGTTTTATAAAATTTTCGCACTTAAAATTACCACTTTCCGAGGTACTCTAGCCTGCAGATTACGTATGAAACCTACAAACTACACGTTTTACGATTGACGATCGGTCGTCTTGCAGTGTTCTATAATTTTAGTTCTGAAAAGAAGTTATTTTTGAGGTACTCTAGGCGACAAAATACACATTTTTGATTGGTTTTTTTTACGTTTGTTCTGCTTATGGGTTCCCTAGGACTACAAACTGCGAAATTACGACGCGTCGACGTTATTTTTGAGGCTTTTTGAGCCACAGAATAGTTTCGACACCTTTTAAAGATCACCAGCCTGACCACTGAATCCTGGCACTACACTTTATACTCTTTCCCAGGCGCCCCAGCGCAGTCTCTCACCTGCCCATTACATGGGGGAAATCACCGCCCCAAAAACGCGTTGAACCCACCGGCACAAACCAACCGATTTCCACCAGGGCTTCCCTCCCCAAAAAAAGGACACAAAAAATTGGCCCTCCGGCTAGGGCTTCCGAACTTTCCCCAAATTGCACACACACGTTGCTCCCCGCTTTTTTTTGGCGCGCTCGCCTGGCCCTGGGTGGTGGAAGAGAGAGAGAGAGAGAGAGAGAGAGAGAGAGAGCGAGCCCGAAAAAAACTCGAAAAGGGAAGTCGTGTCCGATTTTAGTGGCGGTTTAGAGGACAGCTGGCCGGCGGGGAGTCCCCCTCTCTTTTTGCTTGGCCTTCCCCTTCCGGAAAGGGGACCGCCACAGAAAACTACCCGCCTCCCCCCATGTGGATTGATTAGGACATCAAAAATTGGGGCAGCCTAGTGGGGATCATTGGGGAAATTTTTTTGAAAATTTGGGGTGGGCAAGCTAGCAGTGATTATTTGGGGAATTTATTTATTTCTCCCCCCCCCCCCCGTTAAGTAACCTTTACCTAAGATTCTTGATCGTATTTTTAACGAGGATCTAAGGCTCGGATAGGCTTGATGAGAATGGATGTGTTTGAGTTAGATTAGCAGAGATTCTTTCGGAAGTTCTTGGCGAGGTACACCTAGCAGGCTAGCAGAGAACATTAAGGAAACGGTAATGGTCTTAAGTGCTTTTTAGATGATCTAGGCAGAGGAGCTAGCACAAACCCTTGCGGAATAATTGAAAAACCAAGGGCAAGCTAGCAGAGACCTTTGAAGATCTGACTTGTACTTTTACGTCTAACCTTCCGATGTCACTTTATTTCCCCTTTTTTGTTTGCCGATAATCCAGCAAAAAATGCCATGTCGTGGAAGATCTGCCAGAGATTATCCCGAATCTCCGCTTTGATTACGCATACCGGCTTAGGGGATTTCGACTCGCCGGAAATGGCACCACGAAAATTTGGACGTGTTTTTTGGATTCCGGGAATCCTGAATTTTTGCCAATATTCGAATTATAACTCACTGAACTCTTTGAAGTCGAGGTGACCAAGTTTTTGAGCTGGCGCTTCATTAGGTTCAATTCAAGGGGTAACGTGATGATTGTGGACTCCTTGGAGTCGATGGGTAGCGTTTATTGCTGGGATCTTCATTAGCTTCTCTTCACTTTTAAAAAATTCAAGCTACATTTTTGGACTTCCCGAAGTCGGCGTCGAGGTCATCGAGCTCGAAGTTCATTATCCCGGTTTCACGGGCTCCTTCGAGACGGCTACAGCTTTTGTACTCCTCGAAGCCGGCGGAGGTAGTATACATAGCATGTAGGCTTCATTAGCTGTTCTAAGACCCCTTTCAAAAGTGCATTTTTACTGGTTGAGCTCCTTGAAGTAAGCTAGCTTTTCGAAGCTATCCAAGGCCGTTCATTTTGTCGAGATTACCCTGGACTACTGCGTGAATGCGGCTGATTGGCCCTGTTTACGAAAACGCTCCACTACTATTTACGTGCTGCCCCGTAGTCCAAACGGCCATTTCGAGCCGTTCTTCCTTACGGCGGCTTCTCCCCGCATAAAGAGTCATTTCCAGGAGCCGGGCGGGGTGGGGTGGCACACACACCTTGTTTTTGGCCACCTCCCCCGGCTTCGAGGCGTCCCCATTGTGCCCACAGGGCTAGGCAGGAGGATATTGTTGTGCGGTGTTAGGAGGTGTGGTGCGTAGCCTGAGGGCACACACACACGGCCGGTGTCACCCCGCTTTTTCGACGAGCTTTTTCCGTGGAGCCGTCCCCGCCTTTTTTGGGCGGGCATTGAAGGCGAAAAGACACGCGCTTCCTGGCCTCCTCTTCTCGGCACCGGCCGGGCCCATCTCCTTGTGAATGGCTGCCCAGGGCTAGGGCTGCTGGCTAGATAAGGAGCCGAATATCGGGGGGCTGTCTGGAAATTTTTGGAGGTGGTTATTTGGAGTTTCCGCAAAGGGTGTTTGCTAGCTTGCCTGGAATCTAGGAACCATGATTTCGTGAAAGTACGAATTCAGCAAAGGTTTCCTGCTAGCTTGCCTGCCGACCTGAAACAGGGATCTTGTAGATCATCTCAGAGATGAGCCGGATTCCGCAAAGGATCTCTGCTAGATTGCTTGACGACCCGGAAAAAAATGAAAGAGAACCTGTAGATCATCAGAGAGGGGCTCGATTCCTCAAAGAATCTGTGCTAGCTTGTCTCTGCTAGCTTGCCCTGACCTGGTATATACTAGAGGTTCGGAAGACCTCCGAAATCGTCTCTGCTAGCGTACCCAGTCGGCAGATAGAGCTTTCCCAAATGATCTCTGCTAGCCTGCCCGGAAAAATCCCATTAAAATGCTTTGAATTCCCATGTTCCAACGCATAGTCTAGCGCCAGACACGCACAGCCAAAAGCCGCGCCGGGGGATCACCCCGAAGCATAAGGGCTGCACAAATATACGGACACAAATTCCCCTCTCTCTCTCTCTCTCTCTCTCTCTCTCTCTCTCTCTCTCTCTCTCTTGCCCGCTACTCCCCCGAGAAACACCGGGAAGCGCTTGGGAGAGAGGGTGTCGCGCCCGGTCATTCAACGTTTTTGTTGAAGGGGAAAAGATCACAAGTGTCGATGGGTGGCCGCCGGGGTTCTCTCTCTCTCTCTCTCTCTCTCTCTCTCGCGCCTCTCTGACTCCCCATAAAGGCGCCCCACTACGCTGGGCTACAAAGTACGCCTTGGCGGTGACCTCAAAGCATCCGGCCGTGTCACCGCCCCTAAACACCTGGCCCCCAGTGGGGGTCGATTATCGCCCGCCCAGGCGCCTCAAGTGTGGGGGGATAATTCACCCGTGGGAAAGGTGATACCATGTAAATATTTATGCAAAAATAGGAGGGTATTCGAAGAAGGGAAGAGGAGCAAATAAGCTATTTATGTGACTGTCAAAGGTATATTTTCGGGTTAGAGCTTAAACTGGAGTTGAGAAAGTGTATGGAGAATGAGACAGAGAGATAAAAAGGAAGCGAATTTGTGTTCTGAAGCTATTGCAACGGGAAGCTAGCAGTGAGCCTTTGTGGAATCCAATGTGGCTTTTCGGCTTCCCCGGGGCCTTCAAAACTCGATTACTAGCCGACCTTTTGGTTTTCGTATCTCGGCGGAATTTGTAATTTTAGAAGCCCTAAATTTTTTAATTAGAGTTATTTTAAGTATAACTAATCGTGAACATTTTAAACGAAAACCCAATATTATTATTGGCTTTTTAATCCCGAGCTTTAATCCGCTCATTTTCCGCATAACCGTAGATGTTTCTCCTATCTTTTCTTTCTTTTTCTATTCCCATCCCCCTGGCTAATCCGGGGCAATCTACAAAATGAGCCTCACCCCCCTGGGGAGCCCCGATTATCCCCCTGGAATCCTAGAGAAATCCTCAGAAAAATCCGAAAATTGTGACACGAAAGTGCGGGTGGTCCTGCGGTGAATTGAGCATTTTTATCGGGCAAACATTAATGAGAAAGATTTAATTACTTAATTACGCCTAAAATGCATTTTTAAGTGTGTTTTAAAGAGATAATTTAAATTCGGTCTCGTGATTTGACAAATTCTTTCCGTTGGCTTCCTAATTACGCCTGGAATTGCGTTGTTTTACGTAGTTTCTAAGTCATTTGCCGAGTATTTTCCGCAACACTACTCAATTACGCAAAGATCGCATTTTTTCATAAAGTTAGGCTTACTTTAGAAATTGGTTTAGGGCCTAATTGCATGCTCTTTCCGCCCGAAACCAAATTACACACACCCGCCGTGGAATTACATATCGAAATTAGCGGGGGAATCGGCCCGAAAAATGTGCCATTTGCCCGTTTGGACAGCTGGGAATGTCCGCCGAAAAAGGAGGAAAATGTGGACAAAAAATCCCGGGAGTTTTGTCCGGTTTGCTCAGCCAATTTCGGAGATTTTAGGGGCTTCCGGAAATCAACAAAAATATTAGTAATTTTCGGAGAAACCAGCGGATTTCTGGGATTTTTGCATCTGGTGAACTTCGTAGTTTGTAACCCGCAAATTTAATTTTTATTTAGGAGCGAGTTTTTCGTTTTAAAGGTGTTGGAATGTATAGCTCTGAAAACCAGGATTTTGGGGTGAGGAAATTCCAAGACAGCTCGACGTGTATTTTAGCGCGTCGCGTAGCTGTCTAGACCTAGGCGAAGGCGGGGTCGATTCTGGCGTTTCCCGTCCCCTTAAAACCAGAGTTTTTGTTGCCGGAAGTGGGTTTCACCTGCACTTTGTAGCCTGAATTTCACCTGTCTAGGATGTAAAATGAGCCGAATGATGCCAGCTGTTGATTTGGGCACCTGAAATCGGAGGAGATTGAAGCCTCTCTCTCTCTCTCTCTCTCTCTCTCTCTCTCTCTATCTCGCAATCTTAAAACTCCGTGGGAATCCGAGAAACGAAGCCCCCGGGGCAGCCGTTTGTCATCCCCGCCCTAGCTCCCCTTTTTTTCCAAAAGCCTCTCTGGCTCCTGCTGGGGGCGACACATCAAAAAAGAGTGGTGTGGTGGTGGGGTGGGGCAATTGAGGCGTGTGTTCGCACGGAGAGAGGGGGGACGGCCACTTGTTTCCTCTCTCTCTCTCTCTCTCTCTCTCTCTCTCTCTCTCTCTTTAACTAGAAAAGCGCAAAGACTTCCCCGTTTTCGGCTGGCCGCGCATATTTCCCCCCGCGGAATACCCGATTTGGCCAAGGCGAACGCTATGTTAAACTTGAGAGAGAGAGAGTTAGAGAGAGAGAGAGAGAGAGAGAGAGAGAGGGAGAGAGAGGGAGAGAGAGCGCGATAGAGCGAGAGAGATATACATAAGTTCTCTATCTCCAAGCCTATTCTTGCTTTCCATGCCCCTTTAAATGGACGGGCAAGGTACTAGCTACCGTACTCTCTTACGCAAAGGTATAACGCAACTTTTTCGGCCTCCCCGAAAACATTGTTCCCACCCCGTTCGCTAATCCGTGCCCACCACCACAGCATGCCCCATTTTATGGCCACCCCGCAGAACAGCACCCCCCCATCTCTCCTTCCGATTTATTACTGTGGACACGCGGGTTGTGGGGGTACCGGGCTACTTGGGTTCTTCGCTGCCACGTGAAAGTATCGAAATGGGGGTTTGGGATGGAATTTGGAAAGGTTTCATGTTGCTTTAAAACCGTTTAAAGGGGCTAGGAAACGCCGGATTCGACCCTACGTGGGACTGGGTCTCGACCGCAGGGGGACACGCCTTGATAGCTGATGAAAAGGGCAAAAATCGGTTTATAGAGACCATGAACTGTCAAAATCGACCCCTTCCAAGGACTATGTCTAGACAGCGTCCCACCTTTCGACACCACCTAGGCTTCCAAGGGGGGGGGGGAGTCGATTTTCCAACGTTCCATTCCGCTTAAAACGATATTTTACAGATCGGCATCTTTTTTGTTGTTGTTTAGAAGTGTTTTTTTTTCAAGAGGATGGTTTTAGGATGTCGCGTAGGTGTCTAGAACTGGCGGAAGGAAGGGGTCCATTCTCCCGCTTCCTAGTTCCTTTAAAACCGAGATTCCAACCCCATTTGCCATGCTAATCACATAAACCCTCACACCCGTTCGGGTGTGACCATTTTGGGAGAGCGGAACCCGCCGCGCAGATGAGTGTCGCCACCCCAGTTTCGCGAAGCGGTGACATGGCACGCATTTGCATAGTGATTGGGGTGAGGAGAGGCAGAAAGAGAGAGAGAGAGAGAGAGAGAGAGAGGGAGAGAGAGAGGAAGCGAATATTTGACCAGCCCTCTTCAACCTCTATCCCCCTCTATACATGGCGGGGCACACGCAATGTGCCCTTCTCTCCTCTTCCAAACACCCACCCCAATAAAGAGGCCAACCGGGGGGGACTTCCGAGAAAAGTTTTCAAGCTGAGAAAAGGCTGATGAAAACAAGAATATAGTCCTTGAGGTAGTTTGTAGCGTAGCGAAATTTTTTAGCTAGATGAATGGTGAAAGCTTACAAGATTTTTTTAAGAATCCGAAGTTTTCTAGTAACTTTCGAGGTTGTAGTTTGTAGCTTTCCGCTTAAAAACTGGATATTCGACTTGTTAGTCCCTTAGCAGATAATTTTGACGCAGAAAGCAGCAATTCAGGCGTGTTTTTGAGAGATATAGGGGAGAGCGAGACAGAGAAATTCCAAGATAGTCACGCTTCAACGCCCCTTTAAAACCACCCCAAATTTCACTAATCTCCCCGGTCAGTGTTTCCCCCAATTTCCCCGTTCCCACGCACCGACGCTGCCCATTTCGACAAACCCGTCAGTCAATTGCCAAGCGCCTCTCTCTCTCTCTCTCTCTCGCTCTCTCTCTCTCTCCTTTCAGCCGCCCCCAAAATGGAATAATGAGGGCTCAAGGAGGAACCCTATTCGGCGCCCGTCTTGGCTCTCTCTCTCTCTCTCTCTCTCTCTCTCTCTCTCTCTTCAGGCGGGGAACGGCTGTCCCCACCCCCACAACCATCCTAATTATTAGCGAATCGCATAGGCTTACCCCCGCCCAGGGGGATCGGCAACAATTTGGAGGGGGAGATTGAAATTGGGCGTTTTCCTGAAGGATGTCTGCTAGCCTGCCCCTCCCAGCCGCAAGTTATCGCTGCTAGCCTGCTCCTTCCATTAGAAACGCTATCTGCTAACCTACCCCTTCCATTCCCTAAAGATCTCTGCTAGCCTGCCCCTTCCATTCCCAAATGATCTCTGCTAGCCTGCCCCTTCCATTCCCAAATGATCTCTGCTAGCCTGCCCCTTCCATTCCCAAATGATCTCTGCTAGCCTGCCCCTTCCATTCCCAAATGATCTCTGCTAGCCTGCCCCTTCCATTCCCAAATGATCTCTGCTAGCCTGCCCCTTCCATTCCCAAATGATCTCTGCTAGCCTGCCCCTTCCATTCCCAAATGATCTCTACTAGTCTGCCTTGAAGGAGCGTAAAAAATATGATATGGGAAAATGAAGAGAAACTGGAATGGAAAAGAGAAAAAGAAAATAAATGAAGGTTCAAAACTGAAGTAATCCCAAATTTATCATTTGTTTCCAGGCGTACCGTAGCGCGAAGGGCGGCGACTGGAAGTGCTTCATCGCCCACGACGGCACCTCGTATTTCAAGGGGGATGTCGTCTACGTGGAAACGTGCGCCGCCGAGCCGTACTTGATTGGGACGATACAGCACTTTAAAATGGTGCGTTTTAGTTTTTTGGGCTGAACGGCTTGAATTGCTTGGCTTGAACGACTTGGTGATGTTCGTTTCTTCTCTGGATTGCTCTCTCTCACGCTCTGACTTTGGCCCCGTAGTATTCATTTTCCGTTTCGTTCCTCTTTACGGCACGTGTTGTTCGGAGTATGGCGGAATTTTTTCGATAGTTGTGGATTTTATAAACCGCCTAGAAAAATCCGATTATGTAAATTTGCGGCGTCATGTTTTTGACAAACGAGCGGTTGATCCCTCGCTCTCACTCTCTCACTGCTCTCAGACTCTCTCTCTCTATCTCTTTGTCTCTCTCGCTCTCTCACGCCTTTCATATAGAAACTTAAGATACATTTCTGATCTCTCAACGGCCAAATACACACCCCAAAATCCCACAATTCCGCCCGATTCCACCTGACAAGACCTCGACCTACTCGGGAAACTAGCCAATAGCCCCCGAGGCGGATCCGTCCACTTTCTTTTCTTCTTTTCTTAGCCTCCTCCGCCCGCACCCCCCGAAGCGATAATAACTTTTTGCGCCACCCCAGCCTATCGAGGGAAGGAAGCGAAAAGAAGGGGCGAGCTGTTGAACATGGGCGCTTCGAAAAATCTCTCTCTCTATCTCTCTCTCTCTCTCTCGCCACCCCCCTTCAGACCTTCGGAAAAATGAGGCGCCCTCGTATAAATATATGTGTGTGGTCGGGCTGCGCAAACAAGTTGGTTAGCTCGGGGGGACTGGAATGGGTCGTAGTCTGTAGGCTGCGGAGGTGATATTTGATTTCCGAAGAGGTCTCTGCTAGCCTACTAGCAAAATAATGAATGGGGTTACTGCAGATAATCGGGTTTCCACCTAGGGACTCTGCTAGATTGCCCATCTTCTGCCGCTTGCTTTCTAACGAATCACTGAAACCTTGCCTTGGTCGCGTGGGATCGGGTCTAAAGGCTCCCAAATGATCTCTGCTAGCCTGCCATCATCATTCGCCGAATTCTTACCCTCTACGCCCCATTAAAACCGATAGTACATCCACCACCCAGAAATTCAAACCCGGTAAAGGGGTGGTTTTCGAGGAGGACGGAAAACAAAAGGACAAGCGTATTTTACTAGCGGACTATATCTCTCTCTCTCTCTCTCTCTCTCTCTCCTAAAACTGGCCAGCGCGATTAGTACCCGCCGGCTGGGTGGATTATTCGGGGGCGCGTGTGCCCCAGTATTTTTTGCGCTTCCCGAGTGCCCCGGGGATTATCTGGGAAATATTTGGACGACAACCCGGGTCAAAGAATCGCGAGAAAAAGCGAGGGGAAAAGCTAAAAATAAATATAGAACTGTTTGAACCGGAATTACGTCCGTTTTAAAGGGACTAGGAAACCTGAAATACTGCACCTCTTCCATCGACTCGGTCTAGACAATTACCTGGCATGCTACAAGACTTGTAAAAATGCAGCTTTAACGAGTTTTGCGAGTTTTGAACAAAAATCGAATATGTTGCAGGCGTCTCTTGGAGTGTCGCGTAGCTGTCTAGACCTAGGCGATGGAAGGGGTAGACTTCGGGTTTATCACTCCCTTTAAAGTCGTATTTAGGCTCATGGATCTCAAGAATAAGCAACAATTGGAAAAAGAGCTCTGTCTAGAGCTAGTAAATTTAGGTCGTCGATTTTGGCATTTCCTAGCCCCTTTAAAGGTCTCAGAAGGACTCGAGATTTTTTTGCTGATGTCAAGCGTTACGATATGCTAATCAGCACCATGAATCACTCCATATTTTGCCCAAAAATTCCGGAAATTTGCCCCCTCTTGTCCAGGAGCCCATAAAACCGGCGGGAAATCACCATTCGTCACCTCGTTGCTCTTTCTGGCTGGAGGAGCCAAAGTGTGTGACAGCCATGGGAGATTGTGTGCTGCTGCTTATCAGCTGGCCGATCGGCCGCATGTCTTTTCTTCACTAACCAATTGTGAGGGGAGAAAGAAATTTGTTCACCAATCTAAAAAATGGGGAATGAGCAAGAAAGTAGTGAATTTCGGGTAGTTTCTGGCAGAATCTTTGCTAGCCTGCGCGCTGCCTGATTCCTGGGGAATCTCTGCAAGCTGGCCCAGAATGCCGATTCCGAAACAATCTCTGCTAGCTGGGTCGGAAAAACAGCTTTTAAAATATGTTTCTATGGCTTTTGCTCAAGGGTCTCCGCTAGCTGCATTGGTCTCCCTTTCACGAAGAATCTCTGCTAGCTGGCCTAGAAACAGACATTTCAAAAGCGCTTACTCTAGCGTTTCCTCAGGGGTCTCTGCTAGATGCCCCCGGGCGCGCGTTCTTCCGATTTCCTAAAAGACCTTTGCTAGACTGTAAGAGCCCGAGATTCTTAAGGCATCTGCTCGCTTGCCTTGCAACGGGAAACAGGCTTGGTTCATGAGGCATCTCTGCTACCCTGCCCTGGCTCGCCGTGGATCTAGGTAGCCGGATTCTCTCTAAACTCGCATCTCAAGAAACCCTGCTAGTTTGCACGCGGCAACGAGTAGATTTTTGACTGTAGCGCACCTTCTAAAATTTTTCTTAAAAGATTGCTGCTAGCTTGCCCAGCGCGGCGTCTTTGAACCAGGATTCCGTGATTAATGCTTTAGTCGACTCGAGGATCGAAATTTGGACTTCCCGATCCCTTTAAAGCGCCAACTTTAGTTCCGAAGCTTCGTGAGCGTTGAAATTTTGACTTCTCGGCCCCTTTAAACCTCAAAATACCCCAGTAGCCCCAAGCTAAATCCCTCTCTAAATTCAAGCCAACCTGTTCCACACACCCGCCACACCACACGACCCGCAAAAATCCCAAAGATTTATGGTTGATGGCCGACCAGGCGGCCAACGGGTCGTTGTATGTATGTCGATGGCCTGGTTCAACTCATCCTTCTCTCTCCCCCCCTCTCTCTCTCACTCTCTCTCTCTCGCCTCCTCCTCCTCCTCACCCAGATGGCCCATTTGTGCCCACCTAATTTATTTCCCGGGTCCGCGGCGCGAGCTCTGGGCCTTGGCCCCCGCCCGCCAAAATTGAAGAATCGGGGGTGAGCAGTGAAATCTGGGGAGTCGGACTCGGACTAGTTGAGCATGATACTTTTTAGGGTTGTTGAAGCTTGTAATATGAGCTTAAAGGGTTTTGCAAGTGAAAGCTGGCCAGATACAGAGAGCGAGATAGAAAGAGGGAGAGAGAGAGAGAGTGAGAGTGAGAGCCAGAGAACAAGAGAGAGCCAGGTAGAGAGAGAGAGACCTGGCAAGGAATATGCTTTTAAAGGGGCCAAGGCGTTACAATTCCCTTATTAAAGCTCTTCAGAAGCATAAATTTAGATTTTTTAAGGTGTTTTTGACCTCAAAACGTACATTATAAACACTTTTGAACAATTTGAATGTTCTGAAGTTATGGAACTTGGGTTTTACAGGGTTGTGTAAGTCATATTCGCTTCGTGGGAGATTCACGCGCTCGGCACATAACTTTTAAAGGGATTTTGAAGCCGAAAGAATTTTTTATGCGAAATTACGAGGAAATTAGGTGTTTTGCGTAGTTTTCACGCCAGTACCGTTTTTCGGGTCGTCGAACGCTCATTGCTATGCAAATCCGAAATCCGTGCCAAACCGCCCGTTCCCCCTAACGTATGCCCTACTCAATTCATTCCGCCTGGCGGCTCTCAGGTTTCTAAGGAACCCCCTGGCAAAAAGGAGCCCCAAAAAGAGGCCCAGAACCCCGGAAAACAGCCTTCAGGCGCCGGCGGCCCATTGTCGACTCTGTGGGTGAATTCGAGGCTGACCGGTGCTCCCTCCCCTCTCTCTCTCTCTCTCTCTCTCTCTCTCTAGCTCTCACCTCTCTCAAGACGCCTCGATTTCCTCTTCCTCCCGAGCAGCGCCTTTTAAGCAAAACGCGCGGGTTTGGCAACGAGGAAAGAAGCGGAATTTCACGGGATAGGGACCGGGAACTTATTCCCGAGAAAAAGATAAAGCGGATCAGCTCTTTGCCAGATTTTGCCTATTTTAAGATCTATTCTGGGTTTCAAGAGACATGGAAGGCAAATTTTTTCATTGTCCGTTCACCTTTAAAGGGCCCAAGCAAGATGTCAGGTTTTTTAGAACCTTGTCTTACCCTTTAAAGAGGTAGAAAGCGCCTCAATCGACCCTCTTCATCGACTAGGTCTAGACAGCTGCACGCATCGCGAAAGAGTGAAAAAAGCTAAACGCTTAGTTAATTATGCTACTTTGCTAGCACCAACAAACTAGCTCTGATACGCCCTTTGGAGTGTCGCGTAGCTGTCTAGACCTAGTCGATTAAAGGGATAGCTTCTCGCACTTCCCAGTTGCTTTAAAAGACGCCGACAAGCTAAATGCTAAGCTGCTCCTCATCCACTAATGAGACAATGGCCCGGGGCGGGGGGATTGTAAATGGTGCCGTTCTAGCGCGGCGGTCAGTGCTGTCGGCTATGTGCCCCCGGGGCACTCATATCCTTAGGGTAGGCTGCGGAGGAGAAAGGAGAACGACCATCTGCTGACCCATTGCCTACACACATCCCAATATCTCTCTCTCTCTCTCTCTCTCTCTCTCTCTCTCTCTCTCTCCCTCTCCCTCTCTCGCCTAACTAACTGGCGAGTGGACAACGGGTGTGAATTTGGGAAGAGGGGTTGACTGGAAATTGGAGGAAACTAGCAGCGATCATTTGGGAATGGAAGGGGCAGCCTAGCAGAGATCATTTAGGAATGGAAGGGGCAGGCTAGTAGAGATCATTTGGGAATGGAAGGGGCAGGCTAGCAGAGATCATTTGGGAATGGAAGGGGCAAACTAGCAGAGATCATTTAGGAATGGAAGGGGCAGGCTAGCAGAGATCATTTAGGAATGGAAGGGGCAGGCTAGTAGAGATCATTTGGGAATGGAAGGGGCTGGCTAGCAGAGATCATTTGCAGCTGATCCTTGTTGAACTGTTTGCCAGCCAGCCTCACTCCACATCCACAAAACAGAACGGCTGTGAGGCAGTGGTGTGGTTGGGTGTGAATGTTTGCACAGTCGAGGGGACCCCCTTCAGCTCATCCAATCGACACTCCTCACCCGGGACCAATCGACGCGTCCAGCGGGTTGACATTGACCACCGGGGATTGGGACAAATCTGGAGATAGATACTAGGGGTTGGAAACTTTAAAACTTCCCAAATGATCTTTGCTAGCCTGCCGCTTCCATTCTTAAATGATCGCTGCTAGCTGTCATCGCCCCTTTAATGTGCCTTCGATGGCCCTTGAATCATGACATACACCCTTTGGCCGTCTCGCCCCCCAACAACCAGCAGCCGGCCATCCACTCGCCTTATTTATGGGCTATCAAGTTGCGGGGAGGGGGAAATGGACTCTCTCTCTCTCTCTCTCTCTCTCTCTCTCTCTCTATCTCTATCTCTCTCTCTCCCTCGCACTCTTTCTCCGTCTCCCTGACTTTCTAGCAATCCGCACGCGCGGCGTCAAAAATGGGCTAGTGGGTTTGGGGACGCGCGGAAATGGGCATGGGGACTTTCGGGAGTTCCTACAGAATCTCTGCTAGGTTGCCATCACATCTTCTTGGCGACGACGTCACCAAGTCGTTCAAGCCAAGCTAGACAAGCTCAAAAGCCGAAAAGTGTCATAAATTATGAAACAATAAACCCATTTTATTTATCATTTTCAGAACAAGCGCGACCAGCTGAGCGTCAAGCTCCACCGCTTCTACCGACCCGACGATGTGCCGGAGGTAAAGTTTCTAGCTCGTTTTTGTTTCTTCGAGGATGTAAAATTTCAAATTTTCCGTAGAATTATTGAAAAGTGCGAATAGTACGAAATGCCACGCCGAATACGCTTTTTGGCCTGGTTTCAAGGATGACAGCTCGCCGCCGCCGCCGGTCCGCAAAACTGACTCATCAAAACGCCTCAAGGCGTGCCATTTTTTACTGTTTCTCTCACCACTCTCGCTCTCTCTCCCTTTCTCTCTCTCATCTCTCCCTAATGGATTGTGTAAAAAATATGGAGGCGTCGGCGGCGAGATTCAACAAAACATTTTTGTTTATTATAGAAATCGTGGACTAAAATAGTTTTTCGTTGAATATACGTTTTAAAGGGATGCGAAAGCGCGAAACTCGACCCCTTTGATCGACTAGGTCTAGACAGCTACGATATGCTCCAAAAGACGTCCGATCTTCGGTATGCGCCAGCCTAGGGACTTGACATAAATTCAGCGCTTTCACCCGTATTTTCGTTTCTAACGTAGCTGGCTAGACCTGGAATATGTAAGCGGCAGATTGTGAAGCTTCCTAGTTTCTTTAAAATAGGCCCGAACGTTTTTAAGGTGTTGTTTAATGTAACCTTTCCAGGACTCACTCTCCCTGATTCTCCAAGAACGGTCCGAGCTCGAGATCGAGCAGGAGCAGCTCGACCAACTGGAGCAGGCCCACCAACGGGAAGTCTTCTCGTCGGAGAGCTCGCAGACGCACGCCGTCGGCGCATTAAGGTAAGCTTTTTTCGAAATTTCTCCGACTTTATGACTCTTTGGATTCCTATGCCTCGCTCCAAGCTTTTTTTACCGCGTTTTTCAACGATTTAGTTAGTCTTTAAAACATTTATAGCATTTTCGAGATATTTTTCCTTTTTATGGCTATTTTTGGAGTTTTGTAGAGCTTTTTCAAGGTCCTTACCTCGTTTTTCCGTGATACACCTATAGCCACCTACTTGTTGTTTTCCCTAACCACCTCCGTAAACTAATCCAATATTCCCCCCTTTGGCCTCCTCGCTCAATAGCCCGAGGGCACGAAAAACGCCAACCACCACTTCTTTGGCACTTCCGGCGGTGGCCGGCCGCCCCACCATGCCCCTGAATAATGCCCAGCTTTTCCTAGAGGGGCATACAGTTTTTTTGGCTTTTTCTAGCTCTCGCACACTCTCTCTCTCTCTCGCTCTTTCGCCATCTCTCGCTCTTTCGCTCTCTCTCTCTCTCTCTCTCTCTCTCTCTCTCTCGCTCTCTCGCCTGTCGTTCAACTGTTCGCCGAAATTGAGATTCTCCCAAATAAGTACAAAAAATTTTAAAAATCGTGTCTAGCTGATGAGGAGAGAGAGCAAAGAGAGAGAAAGGGAGAGCGAGAAGAGAGAGTGAGAGAGAGAAAGAGATTTTTTCGATGCGCTATAGCTTACTTGCGAGATCAAGGTTTTTAGGACAAAACTATTTCGGTCTGACTCTCTTTAGCCCTGGTTTTTCGAGTTTTCCAATCTACTGCCCTTTGCGCGTTGACTTTCACCCCCGAACGACCCGAAAAGCTCGGACCCAGGTGGCTGGCCGACCACCCTCTTCCCCCTCCCTCCTGAATAATGGCCGATGGTCGTGCATTTTTGAGGGGGAATCCCCCCTATTCGGCGGGCCGACAGCCGGCCCCGGCTATTTCCTAACAAATTCAGCGCAAAAGGCTCGTGAATATTTTGGGGGTGTGAGGTGGCGAGAAAGAGATGGAGTGATAGAGTCAAATGCTCATTAAAACTAGAAAAAAGCGAAAGTACTCTACTGTACTAAATACTGTACTCCGGCTTAATTCTCGATTGGGGCTGGCTGACACCTTTAATAGTATGATTTCCAGGTTTACAAAATTTTTCGATGATTTTGCCGATTTAATCCGCGTTTTTGGGCGCCTTCAGAAACGGTTTTTGAGGGTATAATTCGTCTAAGAATGTCATTTTCTACTTTAAACCAGATTAACCGTCATTTTTGACAATTCGAAATCTTTTTTTCACTCGAGCAGCCCTTTAAAACGCATCTTTTCCATTATTTCCAAGCCGTAGATTTTGGCTTTTAGGTCCCTTTAAAAGCTAATATTTGTCCAAATTTACGATTTTGATTTTGCAGCATTTTCCTGAATTTTTTTTCTGTCAGATTCCTGGCTCTCGATCATGCAGAGAAAATGTAGCATTTCCGCTGCCCGTAAATGAGCGTATATCTCCCCCCTACGATGTCACCGCCCCGATTTAAGTATAGGGTTTTCATCTGGTCCACGAGGCTCCGCGCAATACCTCGTCAACCCCATCCCCACGCCCCCTAATCCGCTCCTCTCTACCTGCCTATTCTTGGCCCTCAACACTGCCATTCTTGGGCCCTGTCGAAGCCATAATTGGCGCCCTACACTCTTTTTCCTACTCGTGGGGGTTTGAATCTTCCGTTTCCGTACTTTGTACGCATGACTGGCGGTTTTAAAGGGGCTAGGAAGCGTTAGAATTTATCTGCAATGGTCTCTGCTAGCCGGTCCAATCCCAAATGATTTCTGCTAGCCTGCCCCTTCCATTTCTAAAGATCTCTGCTGGCCTGCCGGTCCATTCGCAAGGAATCGCAATTTTAGTGTCTTAAAAGGGGCTAGTTAGGGCTAAAAGCTTCCCCTTAAGTTGACTAGGTCTCGACAGCTACGCGACACCCCAAAATATCGAGATTGATATGTGTCTGGATGTTTTGCATAACTGTCAAGACCTAGTCGATGGAAGCAATCGATGCTGGCGCTTCCTAGTACCTTTAAAACCCGAGAACAATAGTAAGGGAACCCTCTTTTTGTGGCTCTCACATCCTCCGGATCCCCTCGAACACGACTGGGGGCTCTCCGGGTGGATGGGCCACTTGATGGGATCTCCATCCACTTGAAAGTCGAGTAGCCCCCCACATCAAAGCGTCAAAGCATGGCGGATTAGAGAGAGAGAGAGAGAGAGAGAGAGAGAGAGAGAGCGAGAGAGAGAGAGAGAGACGTGAAAGAGGCGGAAATCCTGGATTACGCGAGGTCAACCATCAGCCATGCACTTTGTCTATTCGGATTTGCCTTTTTCCATGGTTTCCTGACGTTTTTGAATATTTTTTTCCAGATAAACGTTGAGAATTTTTTTAGCTGGGGTGGACTAGCAGAGATGCTTTGCCATTTTGCTACCTAGGGCAACCTAGCAGCGTCCATTTGCGGAATTCCTGTCCCAAAGTCCGCATTTTTTTCCCAGGGACCTGGAGTAAACTCCTAAAAACCGCGAAAAATCCCCTCAAAACCCAATGCCAACGTCCAAAAAGTCCACTTTCTCGGACCTCAAATACCCGCCGAAGGCACCCCATAAATCAGCGGGTAACGCCCGCCGCCAGAGCATCGGCGATTTTCGACGCGCCGCGGGCAAAAAGGAATGCTTTTCTTTGTGCTCTCAATTTTTTTGGGGGGAAATGGGCCCCCGGAGGGCCCATTTGTTATTTGGAGGGGATGGAGTGGTGGGGGGAGGGCCCAATGGGACACACACTCTTCGCCCCGGGGAGACAAAACGACTTAAAATCGCAGCCGGAACCGGAAATTGGGGGAATTGATGGATAACGAGTGATTTCAACCGGGTCGGTGTTTTTCTGGTAGAGATTTGGCTTCAATGCCCCTTTAAAACTGAGTTTCGCGCTTCTTGGGCTTTATAAACAGATTTATTACGGTGGCTCTCTATCGCTCTCTCTCTATCTCTCTCTCGCTCTCTCTCTCGTTTCTCACGCTGCGAAATTCCAATTCGGATTTTCCAAGCTTGTACACCCCTTTAAGGTTTAAATTCGGGTCCTAAAATCCTGGCACCTTGCCAGAAACGCGGAAAAATTAGTTTTTACGGCCGTTCCCATTCCGCAGCGCTACTATATAGCTTCCATGCCCCCCAGCCCGGTTTATTGTCGGCCGCCCGTTTATTGTTCGTCAGCCGCTGTGGCGAGAGATCGATGTGTCAGTAGTTGTGTTTCGTTCGTTCTCTTTTCTCTCTCTCTCTCTCTCTCTCTCTCTCTCGTCTATCTATACTATTTATATCTATCCGTTTGTCAGTTTGTCTGTCTGCCTCTGCATTCACATTTTCCGCGTGAGTGTGTCCACCAGGGCGTCCATTTCTGCCCTTTTTACGACCCGATGTCGTCTCTTCCATCCACCCGAAAGAGATCGTTATCGAGAACAACCCCCACCGGCACCCTTTTTCCCGCCCAGAATTGCCCATCTTCGGGTTTAATTGCCGAGTTTTTGGGTGTTTTCGCTTCCATGTGACTTTAATATTGACAATCCTGGGTTCTCAAATGATCACTGCTAGCCTGCCCCTTTCATAAATGATCTCTGCTAGCCCTCTAACTGACTGTAAGCTGACCGGAAGCCCGGCAACACTAGCAACAGCTTAGATTTCGCCCGTAGGCAACATTCGCCCCGTTTTTGCCGTGCCATCCCATCCTGGCCGGGGGTGTCAAGTGGCATTCGCTGGAATTGGAGCAGGGGCAGCTGCATCTGTGTTTGTGTAGTGTCCAGAGGAAATGAACGGACGCCTCTCCCAAAGGATCTCTGCTAGCCTGCCCCCTCCATTCCCAAATGATCTCTGCTAGCCTGCCCCTTCCATTCCCAAATGATCTCTGCTAGCCTGCCCCTTCCATTCCCAAATGATCCCGGCTAGCCTGCCCCTTCAATTCCCAAATGATCTCTGCTGGCCTGCCTCTTCCATTCCCGAATGGTCTCTGCTAGCCTGCCCCTTCCATTCCCAAAAGATCTCTGCTAGCCTGCCCTCTCATCATCTCTCAAGTCCCCCTCGACAGCCCCTCGACCAATATTTACCAATGGCCAATGGGTGAGGCACACCGACACGGCTGAAATAACAACTTTTCTCGCCTCACGGATACGGCTGTGAATTTTGAAGGAACGCGTCGGCCTTGAAATAGGCTTTTTAGCGAACTTTTTCATTCTCTCTCTCTCTCTCTCTCTCTCTCTCTGTCTCTCTCCCTATCGCTCTCGCTCCCCATTCATTACCCCGCAATAATCGGTGTGGATTTGCCTGCGGGGGGCCAGTGTCTGTGTGTCACCGGATCCGCCTTTGTGACGGGACTCGGCTATGTTGGCCCGGGGCCAGATGGCCGGCAGGGGAGAGAGCACGTGTTTTTGGGAGGCGAGAGAGAGAAACCGCGAGGGAGAGAGCGAGAGCACGAGCACCCGGAGCAGGAAGCAGGCTGTCAACCACTGGTCAACGCAAGGCCGCCCCTCGCCTATTCCTCCCCCAAAAACCCTTGCCACCAGGCGCTTTTTGGCCGCTTGCCGACAAGGGGTTTCTCTCTGTCTGTCTGGCTGTCTCTCTCTCTCTCTCTCTCTCTTTCTCTAGCTCTTGCTCAAAAGCTCCTCTCGACTCTAGGCACCCCGGAATTTTCCAGACTCACGATTGGCCAATGTTTATTTTAGGAATTTTTTGCAGCAAAAATCGGTTTGATTTTCGCACTCTCGCTCTCTCGCTTTCTCTCTCTTTCTCTCTCTCGCTCTGTCTCTCTCTCTCTTTTTTGCTAATTTTTGAAGGTCAACCAAACCGGCATAGATCTTTTATCTTTATCGCCCTCCCCTTTCATTTGCCGATCGGCTGATCGACTGGCAAGTTGCCCATTGCTCTCTCTCTCTTTCACTCTCTCTCTCTCTCCCTCTCTCTCGCCTCTTCTACACACCTTCCAATATGTTTGTGTGTCTGTTTGGCGCTTAGTGAGTGAGTGAGTGCCCTCTGTCCACATAGCCGTGTGCCGCGAGAGAGAGAGAGAGAGAGAGAGAGCAGAGAGAGAGAGAGAGCTGTGTGCTCTATTCGATCGATCACTTTCCGCTGTCCCTTCCCTCATCCTCTGCTTGGTGGCTTGCCATCGGGTTTTACGGCCCTTTACCATCCGCAAAGCCCCCCTCTCGGCGGCCAGCCAAACATTTGTGAAGTTGGCCTAAATATGCTACTATCTTTCTGGGTAATTTGGTAGTATTTTTGTTAATAATCTGTGGTTTTTTACTATATTAAGGTCACTAATTTAAGTATATTCTCCTTGAGATATTTTTATAATTTGTTTTTAAGATCCTGGGACGTATCTAAAAACATTGACCGCTTTTGGATCGGATTGATGCCGTAAAAATAGTGTAGGGCGTTCGGACGCGAATTTATAATGTTTTAACGTTAAATTTTGGCAAATTTTCTCTATGCCTATTTTTAGAATCGATGTTTTTAATGAATTCTGCATTGTTCTTGCAAGTGTGAGAATTACTCACACCCTCATCAATTATTCCGATTTCCCAAGGGGCCTTCTCGCTTTTTGTTTTGCAGACTTTTGGGATATTTCTGGCTTTACGATTTCAACCGAGGGTTTTCTATATATTTTATTTTTGATACTTTTTAATAGCTCCTTTTAAGACCATCCTCAAACGCAAAACAAGCATTTTTTTAAAACAATTATTTTTTGCCACAGTATGGATTTTCCAAGCCCCATTAAAATCCTGTAATAGCCTATTGAGCCTTTTTTGCAAATTTCCGGAAGACAGTTATTTTGCCTCCTCCAAGGTTGGGGAGGCTAGGTGTATTGGGGCGTTTGTACGTGGCCTTGGGCGGCTCAACTTGCAGATTCTTAGCGTATTTTTTACTCTAGCCCCTCTCTCTCTCTCTCTCTCTCTCTCTCTCTCTCTCTCTCTCTCTCTCTCTCTCTCTCTCTGGCTCTCCCTCTCTCACTTTCAATCTCTCTCGCCCAAAACCTCGTAACTTCTTCCATCCTACTACCTCCTTTTTCGTCACCCCAACGATCAATGGCCACACCACCCTCCCCGGCCGCTGGCCACTTCCTCGGGCTCAAAACGAGCCCCTCGGCGCTCCCCGGAAAAAATCCGGAAAAAGCCGAAAGGGCCCGACAAAGCAAAAAGGGCCCAAATGGGGCCCGGGGCCCACACCGGAAAAACACGGCCGCGAAATAAAATATGGGCCCCTTGGTCGGCCAGGCGAGCACTCGTTCTCTCTCTCTCTCTCTCTCTCTCTCTCTCTCGCTCTCTCTCTCTCTCTCTCGCCATCCGTCTTCTTCTTCCGGACTGCCCAATACTGCACTGCTGAGCCTGACAAAAACTTTTTGAGCGGCTTTTTGAGACCGATTTTTTTACTTTAAAGGAGCTGGCAAGTCAATTTTTTTGTGGATTTTCAATTTTGGCACCTTGCCAACGCCTGAGAATTAAACTGGTTAACAAATATCTGCTTTTTTCTTCACCAATTTTGGCTTGTTGGTCTGTTTTTATCCTAAAAATAAGACTTTTGTCAATTTTCATGGATTTTGATAACCGATTACGACATTTTAATTGATTACAAAATTTAATGGCTGCTTTTTCATGTATTTACATTGTTTATTAGAATCAAAAAAATTCTGAATTGTGCAGGTGATTTTTCACCGCTTTTTCTGTAGCCAACTGAATATCAAGTGGTCAGTTAGACTCTAAAAACCCCTGAAAAACCCGTGTAATTTGGAGCGCAACGTAGGCGTTAATCCCAGGGTCCCAGAAAACGTTGCCAATTAGCTCGGTTTTCGGCGCTTTTTAGGCTTAATACGGGGTATAATTAACTGAAATTAAAGCGTTCCGACCGTTTGCAACTCACGTGGGCATCAATTTTCCCGGAAAACCTCCCATTTTCAAGATTGGAAAGGGTTTCCAATTCCTACAAATCCCAGGATTTTCCCTTAAAACTCTCGTAAATCCCACCGTATTGTCGCGCGAGATTCGTAGATTGTGTTTATTTTTAGTCTGGCAATCATCGAGATTTTTGAGTTTCTAGCTTTTTATACCTTGAAAAATACGTCTTTTTTTAATTCTACACTTTTTGCGCGGCGAAAACTACCCTTAAAAATTTTTCTAGTTGTTTCTAGGTTAATTTTTTGAATTCAGAATTTAAGGATTTTGAGCAGCTTAAGCGAGTAATAGGAATTGTCTAAGTGTTTTCCGTTTTTTTAGAAGTTATGCGATATTCTATACTTTTTATACGTTGAAAACTATCGCAAAAATTGTTTCCTAGGTTAAAATTTTTTGAAATCAGATTTTAAACGTTTTTTTTGGAAGCTTGGAGCGAGTAATAGGAATTTTTAGGTGTTTTCGGTTTTTTGGGGGTTTTTAAAGTATCAAAAGTTGAATATACTTATTTCCGTCATTTTTGCTTTTTTAAATCCATAATTCAACCCATGTTTTTGCAGAGGAAAGTGCCGCGTCTCGTTCGTGCGGGACCTTCGCTCGCTGGGCGACACCGACCTCACCCAGGACTCGGTATTCGTCTCCTGCTTGACGTATAACAACGTGGGTTTGCAAAATTTGGTTAATGTGATACGAAAAAGCCTTTGAACTGCTTGAAATCGTTGTCCAAACCATCTCAATACTTTTTTGCAGGACACGAGAAGGCTGGCTGCGATACAGGGCGAGATCCGGGTCGGCAGCGCCTACCAGGTGAATCTTTGATTTTTGAAAATGGTCAAGTTAACAGGTTAATAAACTACAAACTCCAAGTTCTATCTGTTTGCCTAAATTTGTAGACTACAAGCTACAAACTCCAAATTGCAGGTTTTACGACTAGAAACTTCAAAAATCCTGTTTCTTTGCCGGGACGTCGATTTTTATAGCTTAAGCTACGGCTACAAATTATAAAAAGCCCTTCTTCCTAAACTAAAAAAATCGCGATTTTTTGCTTCATGAATCCGAGGGACTACAAAGTTCAAATGTTAATTGGTTCCATTTTTTGATTTTTTTTTGATACTGGAATACAAATTATCGTGATGTTTTGTAGTTTGTAATTTGCTTTTTTAGCCCTGATTTAGGCCCTAAACTACAAAATTTTCGGTTTTTTTTGCAGTTTGAACACCCACTTGTACTTTCGGTGTTTACACGAGGAGTTCTGGGGTTTTTTTTGGGCTGAACGAAGCTCTGTCCACACCTCTCTTTTCTTGTATGTTTTGCTGCCTGCTTGAAAAGGCAATTTGACCAGCCCCAGCATGATGGCTTTGGCCGAATGGGGCAAATAGAAATCGTCGTCGCGCCGCCCTGTTGGCACAGATGCGCGAAATTCGAGTTTTCGCGACGGGACCGGGCCAAAAATGCCCAGCACCGGCTGGAGGCTAAAAATAGGTGTTTAAAGGGATTATGAAGCCTGAAAATCGACCCCGAGTATCCACTAGGTCTAGACAACTGCGCGAAAATACGTAATTAACCTTATTGTCACTATCGTAATTTTATTTCTATTTTTTCAGGCCAAACTCCCGCCGGTGCCGACGTGCTTCGTGGCCGAAGATGCCGACCGGGATGAGCAGCTCTACGTCCCCGACCAGATCCCCATCCACACCGAGGAGTGCTACATCAAGTTGGCCAGGTGGGGAAGTTGGCTATCTCTCTCACTCGCTCTCCCTCTCTCGCCCTCTCCCTCTCTCGCTCTCTCTCAACCCTCTTTTTCTAGAACATTCCGCAACACCTCCCTCAGCCACATCCCACTCCCGGAAACGGAAAAGCGGGCCCGGTTATGCGACAAGCTGACGAACGACGCCATCGAGACGTTGCACCGGAATGGGTACAACACCCTCAAGGCCGTCACCGTCATGGAGGAGCAGGATAGGTCAGTTCACTTTAGTGATGGTATTATTCAAATCTCAAATCTAATTTGCATCCGCCTAATCAAATCTGCCGATTTGATTTGAATAAGGTTTCGGCACTTCAAATCAAATCGATTTGATTTGGACTTTCGAGGTTTGAGTTCAAATCTGAAGATTTGAACGAAGATTTGAAAGGAGTCGAAAAAATCAATAGCTCATTACGCGGATGCTAATTTTATGATTGCATGCATAATCAAGATTATTTCCGGTTCGCGCCAGCTCGGCCATAGCGATTTTGTTATGTTTTGCATGCCGGCATCTCCATAAGATTTGATTAAGGACCGGAAGCTTAATCAAATCCTCGAGATTTGATTTGAACTCGTCCACGGGATTTCAAATCAAATCCGCCGATTTGAAATTGAAATTTTTGCCTTCAAATATTCAGATTTGATCTCTCAGATTTGACTCAAGATTTGATTTGAATAACCCCATCACTAGTTCACTTCAAATTTCAGTTGCAAGACCTGAAATTTTTCGATTATTGGGTTGAATGCAACCTTTTCAGGCTCCTCGCCACCGACCTCGGCTACATGACCCCAGAGGATATCAAGAAATTCGGCAAGGGCATCAAGACGTATGGGAAGAATTTTGTGAAAATTGGCAGGGAATGCTTGCCGATGTACAAGAGGGTGGGTGATTTGGAGCGTGTTAGCAGCAGCTAGCAGTGATTTTTGAGGGATTGTGGTAGAGGTAGTCTCTCGTTCTTTCTCTCTCCGACTCTTTGGCCGGCAGGCAATCTAGCGGTGTTTCTTTGAAAACTTTGTGAAAGCGATTTTGATCGATCTGGGGCAATCTAGCAAAGATTCTTTAAGGAATTCCGTTGAGGCGAACTAGCAGGGATTTCTTAAGAAAGTTCTTTCTTGCCCTTTCTCGCTCTCTCTCTCTCTCTCTCTCTCTCTCTCTCTCTCGTTCTAAACCATCCTCGCTAACCCTTTTTCGCCGGAGGCCGGGGCGCGAGAGCAGGAAATGGGGCGTCGAGGCAAACTCGGTTTCCTGTGTGCCTCAATTTCGTTTCGATGCCCCCCGGGCACGCATACACCCCAGACCGAAATTCGATTGCCGGCCCGGCCACTGCGATTTGTGTTGCGAGCTGGAGGGGGATTGGATTGTTGCCAAAAGGGGGTTAGCAGATCGGGAGAGAGAGCGAGCGAGAGAGAGAGGGGAGGGAGAGAGAGGGGAGGGAGAGAGAGAGAGCGCGAGAGAATTTTCTATATTGTATTTTTCAGGAGCAACTGGTCAGCTTCTACTACCACTGGAAGAAGACAGCCGACGCGACAAAGCCGAAAGCTATTGGAAGGCCAAGGAATCAGACACAAATCGCGAGGAAACCAAAGGTTAGAGACAGAGAGAGAGAGAGAGAGAGAGAGAGAGCGAGAGAGAGTGAGAGTGAGCGACTGAGAGAGAAACCTGTGCCAATTTTAAACCTATTTTTAGACGAACAACAAATCCTCCCGACCCGGCTCCACCGAACTCCACGATTACGCAAGCGCAAGCGAGAGTGAAGTCGAGGCCGGAGAAAGCGACGGCCGCCCGCTGAGATACGCATGCCATCACTGCTACGAGTCGAGTGAGTTTATTTTCAATCTCTCTCTCTCTCTCTCTCTCTCTCTCTCTCTCTCTCCCCTCTCTCGCTTGAAATTCTCCCAAGCCAATTTCGACACTGATATGGTTCAATTAGCACAGTTTCCGGAAGGGCCCCCCGCGTTAGTCATCGTTGTTTTTGTTAGGTGGTCTCCAACGAAACGGGAGGCGCATTTTTCTTGTCAATTTTGAGGGTGTTGCTTCGTAGCTTCCCAATGTTTAAAGGGGCAGGAAAGTGCGAGACTCTACTCCTTGCGCCGACTAGACCTAGAGAACTACGCGCGGCGCCAAATTACGCTTATCAGTCTCCTTTTGATAGCCATTATCGATGTGTTGCGGACAAACGTACGCGGCATTTGGCGTGTCGTGTGGTTGTCTAGACCTAGTTGATGGAAAGGGTAGATTATCCACTTCCTAGTTCCTTTAGGAGTTCAAAGAAAGCTTCGGTTCGTCTAGATCTATAATTTATAAATTCAAGGGCCGACTCCCTGCTTCCTAGTTCCTTTACTAGGGAATGTTTTCGGGCGGACATCGGACCCAGATATGTGAGTATGTGCATCTTGTAGAGCTCGACGAGACGAATCGATTGATGTAACTTTTAGCTGCTGATACCTTATTTTAACAAAGTTACAACGGTTTTAAAGTTTTTGGCCATACCTTCATAGGCTCTCCCCACACCCTGACCACCGTGTCCTGGTGGCCTAGTGGCTTAGTAGTCGGCGTCTGAAGATGGTAACGAGGGTACGGATCCGCTCACGATTTTTATTTTTTGCGTTTTGGTCGAGAGCTTCCTTTTTGCACCCCGATGGCCCACAAACACTTATTTCAAATTTTTTTAGCTGCCGGACGGTTTCGCAATCATATTCCGAATCAATAAGCATAAGGGGAACACAGAGAATTTTTCGAGCTGAAGTCATCAACATTGGTTGTACATGCAAGAACAAAAATCCAATGAATACTGTCACCAAATTTGTTTAAGTCCTGGAGATAAAAAAAAACTTTGAAATAAGTGTTTGTGGGCCATCGGGGTGCCAAAAGGAAGCTCTCGACCAAAAAGCAAAAAATAAAAATCGTGAGCGGATCCGTACCCTCGTTACCATCTTCAGACGCCGACTACTAAGCCACTAGGCCACCAGGACACGGTGGTCAGGGTGTGGGGAGAGCCTATGAAGGTATGGCCAAAAACTTTAAACCGTTGTAACTTTGTTAAAATAAGGTATCAGCAGCTAAAAGTTACATCAATCGATTCGTCTCGTCGAGCTCTACAAGATGCACATACTCACATATCTGGGTCCGATGTCCGCCCGAAAACATTCCCTAGTTAGGAGCTTTAAAGGGGTCTAGACCTAACCGGTTTCGACGGGGGGTTTTTCGCTTCCAGGTCCCTTTAAAAGTTTCCCTTGAAGGTGTGATTCCGAAAATTACAAGCTACAAAACACGACCTACGGTTTTTTATTCATTCTGTAGTTTGGAGCCTATTTTTAACATATTTCGCTATTTTTCGTAGCCCCGGGGTCAGCAAGGACAACTCTGTAGTCCGTAGCGACAGACCCAGGGTTTTATTACTCCTAAACCAAAGTAATAAGCCTGGAAAGTCGCGTCAGCTTCACCGAAACCCACACCGGAAAACGAATCAATTTCGGGCCGGCTGACGCTATCTCGTCTTGTTGCCCATTATATGATCACATGTGGACGGGCGGACAACGGGGTAGCAGGGGGGAGTGATAAGCCCATCCTAAAAAAAAGAAAAAGTAGAGCGCACCCACCGATTTCTGGATGGATAGGTAGATACCGAAAAGCTCTTCGGCTCGCATGGCTACCGAGGTTTTTCAGACTTTATAGTCTATTCCTGAACTTTTTCAAAGCCTTTTTTACCTTCGTTTTTTTGATTGCATTTGCCTTATTCCTGATTGTCCTGACTGTAACCCTCTTTGGTCGAAGTGGAAATTCCGTACGTGAGATAGCACATCTTGTGCAAAATTTTTTGCTGATTCCGAATCCGTTTTCAAAAGTTGCGGAACCCCTCAGATTAAAAAGTTACAAGCGTTTTTAATACCCAAAATGCCACAAATAGCTGACTTTAAAACGTTCTAAAAATTCCGTCAGATACTTTTGAGAGGAAAGTAAGAGATTATCCGGGGTAAAAAAACGTGCTCTTTCGAATGGGCTAACTTACAAACCCGTAGCTCAAAATTTGCAAAAAAGTTTTTTTGGCGGACCCTTGCCCAAGATGGTCGATTTTCGAAACTTTCGAAATTTCGAGTTACGGGTTTGTGAGATAGCCCATTCGAAAGAGCACGTTTTTGTACCCCGGATAATCTCTTACTTCCCTCTCAAAAGTATCTTACGGAATTTTTAGAACGTTTTAAAGTCAGCGATTTGTGGCATTTTGGGTATTAAAAACGCTTGTAACTTTTTAATCTGAGGGGTTCCGCAACTTTTGAAAACGGATTCGGAATCAGCAAAAAATTCTGCACAAGATGTGCTATCTCACGTACGAAATTTCCACTTCGACCAAAAGAGGGTTACAGTGAGACGTAAATAATTTCTAAATTAAATTAAAATTTAACGCTAAAAGGCTCCGTAATTTTTCTCGAATTTTCTTGGCATCACTTGGGTGCCTGCCAATAATACGTTGAAAGCTATTTTTCAATGCGTTTTAAATTGCAGAAATACGGCGATTTCGGTAACTTATCACTTTTACGGATTTTTTGAGGCGCTTGACTTGCCAATCCATTCAAAATCGAAATTTCGAAATTTTCCGAATCCAAAACGTCGGGTTTTTTGGGTTCTCGGTTCCTTTAAAATGCAAATTTTCATATTTCTTGCTCGTTTGCGATTCCTAAAGGCCCTATGCTAGTCTAGCCTCGCTATTTGGTTGGTTTGGATGCCTCATTTAAAAAATCTGAAATTTTAAGACCTGGTTCATCGATTTCCCCCTTTTTCTGCTTGAAAATCAAGAGGATTTCACGTTTTGTATTCACAAATTTTCATTACCGTTTTTCAGAATCCCGCGACTGGCACCACGCCGGCCGTTCCAACCTTCTCCTCTGCACCCCGTGCCGCGTCTTCTTCAAGAAGTACGGCCAACTTCGACCCGTCGACCGTCCGGCCACCGTCCCGCCCGAGTTGTTCAAGAACGAGGACGATCTGCAGGAGGACTTTGGCGTAAGGACGAGGGCTGGAAAGGCCGGAAACGCGAGGAGGAGATCGCCGAGTATGGGAGACAGCGAGAGGAGAAGCCCTTCACAAGCGCAGAGTATTCACGAGGTAAGTCTTTATGTAAAGATCGTTCTCTATCTCTCTCTCTCTCTCGCTCGCGCTAGTTTTTAAATGATTTTTTTTCAGTTTGACCTTGAGAAGAAACCCCTGCACAAAAACGGCAAGCGAAAACGCAGCGCGGCCGTCAACCCGAACGGCACGCTGAAGAAGAAGATCAAGGAGGAAGAGGAGGACGACGTCGCCCAGAAGATGGACGTCGACGTGAAGCACGAGGCCAAGGAGGAGAATGATGAGGTAAGCGGAAGCTCGCCTTCATGCTATATTTTCACTTTTAGAAGCCCTCACCTTCCTCTTCCTCAAGCCTCTCCTCATGCTCCGTCACTCCGTCTTGCTCCTCTGTACAGAATGGACCTGCCGCCGTACCCTCGCCCTCCACAGCTGCTGTCGCTCCAAAAACGGATGTGGATGGGGAGATTGATCCGTTGTTGCCGGTTAAGACTGAGGTAATTTATTCGATTCTCTCCCGCCTCTCGCTTTCTCTCTCTCTCTCTCTCTCTCTCTCTCTCGCTCCGCCTCCCTCAAACTTTTTCTTGCTCTCTCGCTCTCTGCTGCTGCTCCTGGCAGACGAGCAGAGGTCGATGAAGAAAACGACGAGTTTGCGACCACTCCCGCTCTATCCCTTTCTCTCTCTCGCGCTCTCTCTCCCTCTCTCTGTCTCTCTCTCTCACTCTCGCTATATCCCTTGTTTCAGCCTGGTCAAGATGAAGCCTCCTCCCCCACATCCGCCGCCCCACTCATCAATGGCAATGGCCACGCAGCCGATACTCGAACGGGTACGCCCGAGGGTGGCTATGAAGCGGACGAGGATGGCAATGTGTACATACCGGACAAACCGGAAACGGCCTTAATTACGGATACGGTATGAAAAAGCGTATTTCTGAAACTTTTTTGTCGTTTAGGTGGCGTTTACCTCCAAAAACTGCGAATTTTTGCTGCATCAAAAGTGGAGTGACGGGCAACGGGCGGCGCGGACGGACTTGATGTACAGAAATTTGGTGGGTTTTTTAGGAATTTTGAGGATTGTTGGGTTACGGTAGCGGGGTCATACTATCGCATCTGGTTGCTTTCAAAATGCCGAAATTCGCAATATCGAAATTTCCTAATTTCGCATTTTTTTTTTTGCATGGATTTAGGAGATTTTCTCTTGTGAATTTTGACGAAATTTTGACTTATGGGATTTGGACGTTAAAGAATTTCGACATTTTGAAAATTCGTTGTTTTGAAATTTCCACATAATGAATTTCGGCATTATGAAATCGGAAATTATGAAAGTCCGACATTATTGAATTTCGACATCATTAAATTGCGACGTTATGATCCCTCGAAACTATTTTTGTTTCGCCATTTTCGACAAAATAAAAAATACGTGTTTGTGGTTTTTAAAATTTTTCCATGCCCCCAATTTCAGCCGGGCTCCGATTGGGATCGCCGCCGCGAAGCCATCAAGCTCGACAAGGACAAGCCCAAGGTCGCCACCCCTCAACCCAAGAAAGAGCCCCAGCCCGTGCCCGTCTCGGCCACCCCGTCGTTTTCGGAGATGCTCAACGGGGCGGCTGCCCATGCTGCGCGAAGCATGTCCGGAGGGGTCAACCCGATGGGCCAAGCGCCCGGAATCCCGGCCGGAATGCAGCCGATCCATTTCCCCGGCGGGTTCCCCGGAATGCCCGGCATGCCGATGGCCCAGCAACTGGCCCTACACCAGGCTACGATGGAGCACGTGCAGCAAGCGAGTCAGGCGATGAACCAGCAGCAGGTTAGTGGAGTTTTTGCGATTTAAAGGGACTTGGAAGCGAGCGAGAATCGACCCCCGGCGGGCACTAGGTCTAGACAGCTACGCGCCGCACGAAATTACGTGTACAACCGCATGCGAAGTTTTGCTAGAACCTGCCGTTATCAAACAGAAATTGATGGGTTTCTGTATGTGGCGCCTAGCGGGTTTTTTACTGGAGTTTAAAGGGCTTGGGAAATGTGTAAATCGACGCCTGAAGCTGACTAGGTCTAGACAGATACCCGGCGCTCCAAATGACGTTGAAACGTTCAAACGGTTCTAACGTGTTTTTTGGCTGTTTTTTAATAAAATTTATTCATTTCAATACCCATTTTCCAGGCGCTCCTTCGCATGATGCAAATGCAAGGCCGAGGCGGGATGCCGGGAATGCACGGCCAGCAGCCGAACCCCATGGAAATGGCCCATTTGGCGGCGGCTATGCAAGATCCGGCCGCCATGCAGCGGTTACAAATCGAAGCATTAATGGTATGGAATTATACATTTCTAAATAAATTTATTACAAATTAAAAAATTAAATTTTAAGCGTTTTTTTAAATTTATCGACTAAAATTTGAAATTTGCAATCAAATTCATTAGATTTCAATTTAAAATTAGTTTTTCATCTTTCTGAGGTCTCACAAGGGTACTATAGCTAAAATTTTAGCATTTAAACTTTTACAATCCCTATGGAACCGCAATTCTAGAATCTACTTTTGCAGCATCAACACCAAGCCCAACAAGCCCAACAAGCCCAACAAGCCCAAGCCCAAGCTCAAGCTCAAGCCCAGGCTCAAGCCCAAGCCCAGGCTCAAGCCCAAGCTCAGGCCCAGGCCCAAGCTCAAGCCCAAGCCCAAGCCCAGGCCCAGCGAGAGCGAGAAAACCGCGAGCGCCAGGAGCAGCAGGCCCGCCAGCAGGCCGAGCAGCAGGCCCAGCAGCAGGCCCAGCAACAGGCCCAGGCTCAAGCTCAGGCTCAAGCCCAGCAGGCTCAGCAGAACACGCTGGCCGCGATGGCCGCACAGTTCGGATTCCCGCCCGGGATTCCGATACCACCGGAAGTGCAGATGATGATGATGCGCCAGGCGGAGGTGAGGGATTTTTCTAAAAAATTTTTTGCTCCCCTTCCTCCTGCTATTTTTTCTGATTTTTTATTAAAGGTGATTTTTTTTAATTCGGTAAAATTAGCTGATCCGAAAATTCTGCAAAATTAAAAAGGTGTAGATTCCGTAATAGTTGTAAATTCGTCTGTTTATAGTACATTTTAAGGCAATATTTTCAGGTAGCTGCTCAACAACAGGCCGCCATGCAGCAACAAGCAATGCAACAGCAAATGCTCATGGCTCAACTTGGTGAGGATTTTGAATCTCTCTCTCTCTCCCTCTCCCTCCCCCCTCTCTCTCTCTCTCTCTCTCTCTCTCTCTCTCTCTCTCTCTCTCTCTTTCTATCACTCGCTTTCTTTCGGTCTGCCGGTCTCTCTATTTCTCTGTCTATTTCTTGCTTTTTATCTGTATCTATCTCTCCCGATTTCCATTAGTCTCTCTCACTCACTCACCTCTCTCTCTCTCTCTCTCTCTCTCTCTCTCTCTCTCTCTCCCTCTCTCTCTCTCTCTCTCTCTCTCTCTCTCTCTCACGATTTCTATATGTTTCTCTGTCTGTCTGTCTCGCTTTCTCTCAATATCTCGATCTCTCTCGCTCTCTCTCTCTCGCTCTCTCTCTCTCTCTCTCTCTCTCTCTCTCTCTTTCTCTCTCTCGCTCTCTCGCGTTAACGTCCTTCATTTTTCATCCCATTTTTCAGGCATGAACCCACAAATCACCTCCGAAATGATGCGCCGACTCCAGAGCGAAGGCTTCCGTCATCAATAGCCTCACAAATTACAGGCTACAAACTACAACTACGCAGCCTGCCACTACAAACTGCAGAATATAGACTACTCCAAGACTACTGTGACCACCTCTCCCCCAAAATCGCGATATCCAAATTCTAGTTCGCCAGATGTACACTCGAATTTTTTACAGCTCCCCGTGTGCAAATTATACAAATTTAGACCCAAAAAAACTTTTCCCAAAATTGAATTCTTGATTTTTTACCGTATTCCCCCGTTTACAAAAAACACGCTTCCGAACCCCGGGTCCTCCAGCCAGCCTCGCGATACTGTTTTATCGTATTTTTAAATTTACGTTTTTTGTTTGTTTCCACCACACTACCGTACGCGATTTTCCAAATGACGCTCTCAGGCACCGTTTTTTGACCCAAATTTGGCTACCGTAATACCCCTTGATACTTTACCCCACTTTCACAAATTTCGCTAATTTTTGCCCCGGCTACCCTATCTCGGATACCGTATCCCGCCCCCCTACCGTAGCCTTATACTACGCGCCCACACTCCGTAGCCCCATCCCCAGTACCGTACCCCCAAAATCTGCTAATTTGCGCCCCGGATACCGTACCCCCAGCCTAACTACCGTACCCCCAGCCTAACTACCGTACCCCTCAAGACGATGCGTGTCTGTGCCTTACCGTAGCCTCTTCACCACACTTCAAAAAGTGAATAACAAATTTGCCTTGCGACCCCCCCCCACGAATTCTACTGTAGCCTGTCGGGTTACGGTACCTTTAAAACGTCTAAAAATCATTTCTTTAAATTTTTAAAAATTAAAAAACGGATTTTTTTTGAAAAATTGGACTTTTGCGGATGCTGGATACTGTAGTTTTCAATATTATGCTCTAAATGGCGATTTTAAAGGTACCGTAACCCAACAAATGTCCGAAAAACCTCGCCTACAGTACTCTCCCTCCCCACCCTCCTCCTCACCAAAACGGGTATAATTTCTCATTTTTTGCGGAATTTTGAATTTTTTAATGAGTTTTTGTGCGTGTAATTTACATATTTAAATACCGTAGGCTTTGTACCGTACTTTTCAATTTTAACAAATTTTAAGCCCCGAAATTCTTTCCCCGAAACGGCACTTAAAATACGGTATTTTGGCCGAATTTTGACTTCTGCCGGATTTTCAGGGCATTTCAGGGCATCAGCTACTGTACCGTATTGCTACGTACTTTTCCGCGACTGTACAATGTACAGTTGGATTTATCGTGTAATTTTTTCTGTTTTTGATATTTTTACAATTTTATATTTCCGATCATTGCCTCTTTCCAGCCGCCCAGTTTTTCGTTGTTCGTGTTTCCACCCCCCAACTCCGCCGCATTCGAGTATTTTTCTTTCCGCGTTCGTTCGTTCGTTGACGATGATTATTTGGGTATATAAAGAATTCAGATTATTCCGTTTTTTCCTATTGACACTGGACGGAAAATTGCAGAATATAGGCTATAAAATGCAAGTTACGCCACGCGATAGACGTCCAGCATTGAGAGTACAGACTACAAACCAATGCCATAGACTACAGAGTACAACTACAAAGGCAGACTACAACCACAAGCTACGACTCTAAACTACAAACCTTTGCGGTAAATTTAAGAGTTTCAGCTGGCCGGGATTCTCGAGGAAAGGGAAAAAGCTACCGTGCAAGGGCTAGGTAGCAGGGATCCTTGAGGAAATTCATCAGCTAGCAGGAATTCTTGGGGAAGGCGAATAAAATAGACGACAAAACCGTACCTTAAACTCATTCCAACTACAAACTTAGGCATCAGCTGCTACAGATCAGTGGGAGAGCTAGCGGGAATTCTTGCGGAAAACGGTCAACTAGCAGAGACTCTTGCGGAAACAGAGGGACTATGAGAAACTCGTATGGATCTGGAAGAACTGGCAGGGATTCTTGAGAAACCGGGTGAATTAGCATCGAGTCTTGGGGAAATTGGAGAACAAGCTAAGATTTTTGGGGAAACCGGACGACTAGCAGGGATCATGGAGGAAATTCCAGAACAAGCAAAATTTGTGGGAAAACCTAATCAGCACTTGGCAAGCTAGCAGAGATTATTTGGGATTGTAGCTAGAGATAGCGAGCTAGCAGTGATTCTTTAGGAAAAATGGTCAAACCGGTTGATCCAAGGCTAATCGTAAGCTATTTTGTTAGAAATTTAGAAAAACATTGTAATTCACTTGGCAGGCTAGCAGGGATCTTGGCGAGAATGGCAGGCTAGCAGAGACTCCTGTGGAAGCGTAGCAACGAGCAGAGACTATTGTGGAAACCCATATACAAAGTCAACTTTGCTAATTGGCAAATTTGACCCGTTCCAGCCTCCCCAAGATGATGACCACTATTTACCCCCCGTGGCCGGTTGGGTTTTGGCGTGCCCTACATTACACTACAAAGACGGGGCCAAAGGGCCACACTCACACACACTGGTCCTCTGCTCTCTATCCCCCTTAGGGCCAAGGGCCCATTTCCCGGATCTGCCAAGTCGATCCATAGCTAGGGTTTTTGATTGTTCTTCTTATGAGCGATGTTTCGGCTAGAAAACAGCGCATTAATGGCTGGAAATTTTTCGGAGGTTTATAATACCCATTCTAATATTTGTACGCTTACGACGTCCAAGTTAAAGACGTAGAAGTCTAGCGGCTATAAGCAATTCCGGCCACTTCGCCTAAAACCCAATTGCCCAAACTTTTTAACCATCTACAAGCCCGACTTTTTGGCCAAAAATCGACATTTTTCCGAAATTGTCATGAGACTCTTTAGCATAATTGTGGAAATCCATTGTGAGACACTATTAAAGTTGGTTAAAATTGTTAATTGACAAAGTTATCATCCCATATTGCAAGAATTAACTTTAAAACTCAATAAAGCAGTTGTTTGCCCCAATTTTCTCCCGTTTTTTTGGCTTCTGCTGCTGTCATTTGGTGGGATTTTTCGCACCAAAAGCCCGGAATTGATTTTAGCTTTTATTTTGCGCCAGCTGCCGTTTTCTGCCTGCCGGAAATGGTGCCATTTTCCAGATATTTCGGTGGTTTTCCTAATCCGCTGAAATCTTATAATATTTCCTCAAAATTCTTTCAGAATCCGGCAATTGTGGCTCAAAAATGAGCCGCTACCCGATGTACGGGGTGCAGGACGAACCCGTGTGGACCAGGGGCCACTCTACAGGTCAGAATAATTAAATGTAAACACCGCAACCAACAAATTTTTTTACTTTGATTTTTCAAACTTGCTACGATTTATATAGCGCCATTTCAGGGCCGCAAGTCTCCAGCTCGCCATTCGTCCAGCAAGCCTCGTATGCCGGCGGAAATGTGAGGAGCTTGTTTTGGGGCAAACGATTTAATCGCATTTAGCAACCATTTCAAACAACAGTGGTCCACTCCACGCATAAACCTACGAATGATGCGGATTTGTATAGGTATTTTTCTTGTATACCAGCCGCTTACAGCGGCTGAACTTCGGGCTACCCCCCTGCGCTCCCTGCCCCTCGCCGAAACGCGCGCGACCTGGCTCACTATGCCTAAAATCGTACAAATCGCCATTTTACTACCAAATTACAAAAAACGCTTTTTAAATATGAAAATGAAGTTTTTAGATTCGGTTCTTAAGCGGTTTGGGGGTTTCTGACCATGCTCTATCCGAATCCGAAGATACCTAAGCTCTAGCTCCTTTTCCCTTCTAGTTGAATTCGGCTTCGGACCGAGACCACAGCAAAATTATTATAATTGATGAATAATACGCGACAACTTCGTCCTAAAGTTTATACTGAATTGCGCACCTTAGAGTGGGCATCTACGGCTGGCGAAAGCGATGTCTCTACGTGTTCATCGTCGTACTGGCTATTTTAATTCTCGTCAATCTGTGCTTGACGCTTTGGATTATGTCCGTTTTAGATTTCTCGAGGGTAAGTAAATTTTTAATTAATTTTAACGCTTTTTGACAATTCCTGAAGAACTGATGTTGCATTTTTTGCAAGTTTTCCATTTTCAGGACGGCATGGGCGCACTCCGGATAGAAAATGATGGAATTCGAGTAAAGGGCAGAGCACAGTTCGACAGACCCATTCACTTATCACACCTATCGACGGCTAGGGTAACTATGCAGTTTTTGCAGAAACTTAAAGCGCTCGGAAGCGCGACAATCGACCCCAGAATTCAATAGGTCTATACAGCTACACGGCGCACGAAAATCCGCTTCCCAAATCGCCCGTAAAAATGAGTTTGACAAGTGCTTTTTTGCACCGGGTAGTTGTCTAGACCTAATCGATCCTTGGGGTCGATTTTCCTGCTTCCTAGACCCTTTAACATGAAGCTGACAACTTTGAATTATAGGACGAAGCCCTCCTAATCGACTCTCCAAAAGCGGTGACGCTACAGGCGAGAAATATGACTGGGCATCCGGCCAGTATCTTCGCTTTGGGACCCGATGGAAAGTAAGCGAGAGATAGAGCGAGCGAGGGAGAGAGAGACAGAGAAGGAGAGGGAGTGAGAGAGCGGGAGATAGTGAGAGGGAGAGAGAGAGGGCAATGGGGAAACCGAGTGATTCAGATATTGAGAGGGAGAATGAGAGAGAGAGAGAGAGAGAGAGAGAGAGAGAGAGAGAGGGTGAGAGGCAGAACTGGAGATAGAGAAGATGAGAGAGAGAGACAGCGAGAGGTAGAGAGAGAGAGGGAGAGAGCAGATTGAGAGATAGAGAGAGAGCGAGAGAGATAATCAGGGTGCGAGAAAGTGAGGGAGATTCCCTCCTTTAGGGTCACTGCCACCTGTGAACGCTTCGAAATCTACGACAACAACAACAAGCAGCTCTTCTTTGCGGATAAGGACGAGATCGGCCTCAAGTTGGAAAATCTGAGGATTTTGGGTAGGTTTTTAGGCTTCAGAAACGATCTAAATTTCCTCATTTTTTACATAGCTGACTACAATAATGGCAAACCAAATATCATAATTTCTGACGAGTACTTGAGCCGTCTATGTCCATAAGTTGTCTGTATCTTTGTTTTTCAGACGACGGCGGCAGCGTGTTTGAAGGCGCCATCCAGACGGCATTCATCCGCCCCGAAACGGACACCCCGTTACGGTAGTGTCAATAGGACTGTCATGTAGCTATGCTCTAGGCTGGAATCCCCGACTCGCACCGTACTTGTCGAAGCCGGCCAAGACATTGAAATGCTCTCGTCGGCCGGAGAAATCCACCTTCAGAGCCTCCTTGACGTGAACATCGTCAGCAAGCAGGTCAGCTAGCAGAGATCATTTGGGAATGGAAGGGGCAGGCTAGCAGAGATCATTTGGGAATGGAAGGGGCAGGCTAGCAGAGATCATTTGGGAATGGAAGGGGCAGGCTAGCAGAGATCATTTGGGAATGGAAGGGGCAGGCTAGCAGAGATCATTTGGGAATGGAAGGGGCAGGCTAGCAGAGATCATTTGGGAATGGAAGGGGCAGGCTAGCAGAGATCATTTGGGAATGGAAGGGGCAGGCTAGCAGAGATCATTTGGGAATGGAAGGGGCAGGCTAGCAGAGATCATTTGGGAATGGAAGGGGCAGGCTAGTAGAGATCATTTGGGAATGGAAGGGGCAGGCTAGCAGAGATCATTTGGGAATGGAAGGGGCAGGCTAGCAGAGATCATTTGGGAATGGAAGGGGCAGGCTAGCAGAGATTATTTGGGATAAAGTCGAATTTTACAGGGTGAAATTCGGCTCGACTCGTCGAACATCTACATGAACGGAATGATCAAATCGTCGGGCCGTGGAAATCCGCATAATCAGCTATGCGTGTGCACTAATGGTAAGTTGAAAGAGTCTAACTTCTCTCTCTCTCTCTCTCTCTCTCTCTCTCTCTCTCTCTCTTTCTCTCTCTCCTCTCTCTCCCTCCCTCACTATAATCAATGGCTATGCCTTGCACCGCCCGTTAGAGTTCTTTAAAAAATTCCGGTTTTTAGGCCGTCTCTTCATGGCTGCCCAGGGAGCCGACTGCCGAGCGGATCGAAATATTTGCGAATAAAACAAGAAAATTCTCGAAAATCGACCCCTCAAATGATTAGGTATCGACAAAATATCTGTACCTTTTCTGCGTTTACTTTCCGCTTCAAACCTCGCTTTATCACGACTTACTTTCAACGCGCCAATTCCTCCAAATTAACTATGTTTAAAAGCTTTCTAATTTGTGTATTTTGCTCAATGCCTGCCTGCTTTTTCATGTCGTAACCATATTTATGAAGCTGAATCGATTACGCCATGTAAATCCCCGTCCAACTGGTCTCACATCCCCAGCTGCCCCGGCTGCTCCTCGACGATTTCGGGGAGCCGCTGGGCCGGGGATTTCTGAATAAATTCATGATTTTGAGGGGTTTTCTATGCAATATAATTTTCAATTCATACCGTAAACTATGCAGGGCGTCCCAAAAAATAATCCTCGCTTTAGCGAGCCGCAGAAGTGTCCGATTTTTACGATTTAGGTATCTTTCGAAGGCGCTCGGAAATGCGAGAAAAACAACACTTTCCGTTTTTACGTTTTTCCGGTACTTTTTTGAGACTCCCTGTACCTTAAAAGCTATTTGACAGAAGCGTATAAAGCTTGCTTCCAAAATACGCAAATCACCTCCCACCTGCTCCGGTTCCGGCAGGGTACCATTCGGGATCCGGAGCTGCAAATTGCTGGGGTCAAAGCCCCAAATCTGCCGTTCGAGCGCCACACGTTTGGCTCGAGCTTCTTCCAAAACCTCGGCGTTCTCGACGTTGGCTTTGTGGAGCTGAAATTCGGTTTTAAGGGGACCGCGCACCCCGAAATATACCCGTGAACTAGGTCTAGGCCAGATTTTCATATAGGATATTACAAATGCTCTTTTGTTTTGCCTTGTCGGTCCCTTTAAACCCTACCACATTCACACAGCTGACGCGTACGCAACGCTGTTATTCGTGCCAAGCCGGTTACACAACCAAATGTGCTGAGCGTTGTGTGTCTCTCTCGGCCTCTCACTCTCACTGTCTCGCTCTCACTCTCTCTCGCTCCTCTCTCTCTCTCTCTCTCTCTCTCTCTCTATCCCTCCCCACCTGCTCCCTCCTCGCCGTCCTTATCGCATTCAGGTAAAGCTTCAAAGATATTTTCGGTTTCCTCGGCTCCGTCGAGTTGTGATTTGTATCGATCCGGAATTTCCGTTTTGGCTCCTTTTCTGTCCCGAAATTCGGGCACATTTGATAGGTTTTAGGGTAGGTCGTTTCGACGTAGTCGTCAAACAGCCGAAGTGCCTTTTTATAGCTGAAACCTAGGGTTTGCAGTCTGCAAGAAAGAGAGAGAGAGAGAGAGAGAGAGAGAGATAGAGAGAGAGAGAGAGCGAGAGCGAGAGAGAGACTTGCATCCTTTTCCCAATCTGCTTACCGATTCCGCATCCTATATTTCGTCCTTACTACCGTATCACTCTCTTCCGGGCTACGGTAGTTTGGGTGGATGGCAAACGCGTTGTTCAGCGCCAGATAGGCGTAGCCTGCCCGGCAGAGCTCCCAGTGCTGAAGGGGACAAGATGATGCCTGCTAGCCTGCCCCTTCCATTCCCAAATGATCTCTGCTAGCCTGCCCCTTCCATTCCCAAATGATCTCTGCTAGCCTGCCCCTTCCATTCCCAAATGATCTCTGCTAGCCTGCCCCTTCCATTCCCAAATGATCTCTGCTAGCCTGCCCCTTCCATTCCCAAATGATCTCTGCTAACCTGCCCCCTTCCATTCCCAAATGATCTCTGCTAGCCTGCCCCTTCCATTCCCAAATGATCCCTGCTAGCCGGCCCCTTCCATTTCCAAATGATCTCTGCTAGCCTGCCCCTTCCATTCCCAAATGATCTCTGCTAGCCTGCCCCTTCCATTCCCAAATGATCTCTGCTAGCCTGCCCCTTCCATTCCCAAATGATCTCTGCTAGCCTGCCCCTTCCATTCCCAAATGATCTCTGCTAGCCTGCCCCTTCCATTCCCCAATGATCTCTGCTAGCCTCCCGTGCGCCAACCTGTTGCACGCCGTCCGACATTTGAAATGGAAACTTTTCGTTGTGAAAGGGTACGGTGTTCAAGGAGATGAACTGGGGTTGGTAGGCCTGGTGGGTGTATCTAAGTTTTGGATTAATGAATATAATGTCAGATCACTTTCTCTCTCTCTCTCTCTCTCTCTCTCTCTCTCTCTCTCAGGTTCCAGCACCTACCCAACTTGCTGAAATCCCACTTCAGTATTCGCTAGCCACGCGTCAGGATCTAAACATCGTGGTTTGGACGAGAAAGGGTCAGCGCGAGAGAGAGAGAGAGAGAGAGAGAGAGAGAGAGAGAGAGAGAGATAAACCCACCCTTCAATCGATGTGCCTGTGTGTTCAACAATGTCATAAACGGCTGCACCGCTCCCTGGTCAAATCCAGCTTTTAATTCAGGCTTTGTGAGCGGCAGAAGAAGCCTAAAACACCAATTTCCCTACCATGCGCGAGAAAAAAAACGCACGCCGCATCCATGAGGCCCTCCAAGCTGGGATAGATGAAGATTGAGGTTAGCGGGGTCCTAAAACAGAATTTTTCCCTTTTATTCAGTTTTACTTGGCCGTTGCGATGGCTAGTAGCGAGTTTCGCACGAAGTCTGTTGAAAATCGGAAATGGGCGTCGACTACGGTAGCTAGGGCGTATTTTGGGAGCATCTGAAAACAAGGTGCGATGGTTTTAGGAGGACTGGCAATACGAAGTGATCTCTCTCACTGTATATCCATCGCTCTCCCTTTCCCTCTCACTGTATCTCTAGTTGTCTCTTGCTCGCTCACTCTAACTCTCTCTCACTGTATATCTAGCTCTCTCCCTCTCACTCTCTCTCGCTCTCTCTCTGTCTCTCTCTATGTCTCTCTCTCGCTCTTTCCCCCCGCGATACCATTCTAGCCACGTTTCGCATTAAATTGATCGGGTACAAATCATCGTCCGTCAGTGCCGGCTGCTCGATAATATCCCACTCCAAAAGTTGTCCCATCGACTCGAGCGGATTGATCGGTTTTTGGAGCGAGTAGTCGAGGCAACTGAAAACAACAGTACACTAGAATTTTTTTTGGGCCAGGAATTGATAACCGACATCGACTAGGTCTTTTCGGTGTCCCGAAAAAGCATCTTACTCTAGCGGGGAAGCGCGGATCTGGATGATTTTTACACCATTCGCAAGCTCTCGAAAAGGCGAGACAAGCTGAATCGAGGGCTAGCCAGCACCCTTTTTTTGCGTAAAGTCGAAGCGGTCAACCAGCAGAGATTGTATTGGAAAGGGAAAACAGCTGGGATTCTGTGTGGAATCAACCGTACCTAAACCCGGCATTCTCCTTCGGGAGCTGGAAGACGAAGTGCAGCAAGAGGTTCTCGATGCCGTTCACGTGTATGATCTGGGCGACCTGAAAACTTTTAACGAAATTTACTTAATTTTTTGGGTTCTTTGGGACGTACCGTTTGCTCTGCAATGAGTTGGAATTGGGTGAGTTCCTGGAAATTTTTCGTGGGTTCCGGCCGGTCGACGAGGATCGAAATCTCGATACAACCGGAAGGGAAAGAGGTGAGCTTAAACAGTATTACTCTAGCTTTCTATCTCACTCTCTCGCTCTCTCTCTCTCTCTCTATTTCTTTCTCACTCTCTCAATCTCGCTCTCTCGCTCTGCCTCTCCATCTCTCTCTCCCTTCCTCTCCATCTCTCTCTCCCTTCCTCTCTGTCTCTCTCTTTCTCTCTCTCCTTTTCTCACTGTCTCTCTCCCGCTCTCTCACGCTCTCTCTCTCTCACGCGTCTCTCGCTTTCTATGTCTCTCGCTCCCCCACCCTCTCGCTTCTATCTCTCTCTCTCTCTCTCTCTCTCTCTCTCTCTCTCTCTCTCTCTCTCTCTCTCTCTCTCTCTCTCTCTCCTTCTCCCTCTCTCTCTCGCTCTCTCTTTCTCTGTCTCTCTCTCATCACTAGCTTTCTCACTCTCTTGCTCTCTCTCGCTTCTATGTCTCTCTCTCTCTCTCTCTCTCTCTCTCTCTCTCTCACCTGGGATTCCATATTCCTATCAAATTGATCCAAAGTGGCGTGTAGTAATGCCGTAATCGTACCCGTCGAATTACAGTAAGTCCCAAAAATTTTGGGAATTACACAGTAGCTCGGGTTATACTGTAGAACCCTGAAATTTTGTCGGAATAATCCAAAAATCCCGAAAAACCGCAATTTCGGTTGCCATTTCCTCTCCTTAATGCAGGAGCCGCCAATCCATCGCTTCTGCCACAAAATCCAGTTCAGGAAAAATAGCGTCAACAGCGTCCAGACCCACAATTCGCCCGATTTAGGGCGCGTAAACGAATGGCTGCGGCGGAGCATTCATCAAGCGCCTAGGAGTTGGTTGCAGGGCGCAGGCTAGCGGAGGTATTTGAGGCATTTTTTAGAGAACTAGCTGAAGACGCCGGGCGCGCCTTAAATTGGCGGTGGGCTGGCTAGCGGGGGTTTATTGGGAGACCCCCCAAAAAGCATGACAGGCGTGCTAGCAGAGATTCTTTGAGAAAAACCTGCAATGTGTATTAGGGCAAGCTGCAGAGATTATTTGAACCAACTAGAGAACCCAAGGGGTATGCTAGCAGAGATTTTTTGAGGACAAGGCTGAAAAGCGTAACAGGGCAAGTTAGCAGAGATTCTTTGTCGTAGAAAGAGAGCTCAAGGGGCAGGCTAGCATAAAATCCTTCCGAAACGGCAAACAAGGCATGCTAGCAGAAATCCTTTGTGGAAAAGCCGGAAAATCGCAAGGAGGCGAGCTAGCAGAGATTATTTAAGCAAAAGGACGAAGCGCAGATAAGGCGTGCTAGCAGAGATTCTTTGTGAACAGGCCTGACAAACTAGCATAGATTATTGGATCCAACTAGAGAGCCCAAGGGGCAGGCTAGCAGAGGGTACTTGGGAAGCGACAGGCCAACAAAAGACAATAGGCAGGAAGGCAGGCTAGCAGGGACTCTTTGAGAAAAAGACAAAAGGCGTAAGAGGGCGAGCTAGCAGAGATTATTTGAACCAACTAGAGGACCCAAGGGGCCGGCTAGCAGAGCATCCTTGGGAAACAATGGGCCAACGAAACAAAACTAATGAAAAAGAAAGACGACAATCAGGAAGACAGGCTAGCAGGGATTCTTGGTGGAAAAGCCTGAAAAGCGTAACAGGGCAAGCTAGCAGAAATTCTGTGATCAAACTAAAGAATCGAAGGGGCCGGCTAGCAGAGAATACTTGGGAAACCATAGCGTCAGGACAGGCTAGCAGAGATCCTTTGGGAAATCAGCCAAAGAGCCTGACCAAGAGCCTTGTGAGAGGCGTGCTTTCAGAAAAAAGACGAAGCACAGATGAGGCATGCTAGCAGAGATTCTTTGTCAAAAGGCTGAAAAGCGTAACGGGGAAAGCTAGCGGAGATCTTTGGGGAAGCGGCTGAACCGAATAAGAGGGCCGGCGAGCAGAGATTCTTTGCCGCAATATAGCAAAGATTGTTTGAAGAAACCACAGGACAGGTTGGTAAAGGCAAGCCAGCAGAGAACATTGGTGGATTGAGGCCAATATAGCTTCCACATATAAAGATTTGGAGTGGTTGCCTTGTTGCAACGTGTTTTGTAGTCCATTGATAAACCCGAACTAGAAGAAAGACAAGAATACAATGCACTCCTAACAACGGCCGGCGCAAACTGCCCAGACACCTGAGGAATAATTTACGCCAGGGTTGAGTGGGTGGCGGCGGAACAAACGGTTAATTTAAAGGGACCGGCAAGTTAGCCTGTTCCTAAACGTGAAAACTTTACAAATTTGTTTTACAACAAAAATCTAAAATATGGGTTTTGGGACCAAAAAGGCGGATTCTTGACCGAAACTTCGACTCTTGCGAAATTTTTTGAAGTTTTTAGATGGTTTTACTGGTCAAAATACAGTTATCCTACCATCCTACTATACAGGGTGTCCCCAAAAAAAAGACACCGGCCGCATTTCTCCATTTCGGGCCCGATCGATTTCACATTTTGCACAGAGGTAGCGAAGACAATTTCCCATGAACACAGAAAGTTTCAGCCCGATCGGTCGGCGGATTTTAAAGTTATAGCGAAAATACTTTTTATTTTTTATTTAATATGGGACTTCTGCAATTTGCATCAAAAATCTGGATAATTTTCTCATTTACGAGCCGATTTTGCATAATTTTTGCCGAAAATCTCATTTGCTGTTTTTGCGCTTCGTAAGAACGATTGCGCATGAGAGGTAAAAATCGTCCACAAAACCGTCAGGTACTAGAAACCAGGATTGTAGCATACTTTCGCCGGTTACTTAATTTATTCTTCGGCTTACGCATAGGTTTCAAGCATCGATTTGAATTTAAGCACTAATTTGGCGCCCGTGGAGCGCTGTGTCGAGGACGAGGCAGATCAAACTGACCAAAACTTCAATAACGTGTGTTTGAGTGCTCAAAAAACTGTTGTTTTCACCGTATTTTGTTTCTAATGAGCAATCGTTCTTACGAAGCGCAAAAAAGAGCAAATGAGATTTTCGGCAAAAATTATGCAAAATCAGCTCGTAAATGAGAAAACTATCCAGATTTTTGATTCAAATTGCAGAAGTCTTCATATTAAATAAAAAATCAAAAGTATTTTCGCTATAACTTTAAAATCCGCCGACCGATCGGGCTGAAACTTTCTGTGTTCATGGGAAATTGTCTTCGCTACCTCTGTGCAAAATGTGAAATCGATCGGACCCGAAATGGAGAAATGCGGCCGGTTTCTTTTTTTTGGGACACCCTGTATATCAAAATAGTGTGTGTGTGTGTGTGTGTGTGTGTGTGTGTGTGTGTGTGTGTGTGTTGTGTGTGTGTGTGTGTGTGTGTGTGTGTGTGTGTGTGTGTGTGTGTGTGTGTGTGTGTGTGTGTGTGTGTGTGTGTGTGTGTGTGTGTGTGTGTGTGTGTGTGTGTGTGTGTGTGTGTGTGTGTGTGTGTGTGTGTGTGTGTGTGTGTGTGTGTGTGTGTGTGTGTGTGTGTGTGTGTGTGTGTGTGTGTGTGTGTGTGTGTGTGTGTGTGTGTGTGTGTGTGTGTGTGTGTGTGTGTGTGTGTGTGTGTGTGTGTGTGTGTGTGTGTGTGTGTGTGTGTGTGTGTGTGTGTGTGTGTGTGTGTGTGTGTGTGTGTGTGTGTGTGTGTGTGTGTGTGTGTGTGTGTGTGTGTGTGTGTGTGTGTGTGTGTGTGTGTGTGTGTGTGTGTGTGTGTGTGTGTGTGTGTGTGTGTGTGTGTGTGTGTGTGTGTGTGTGTGTGTGTGTGTGTGTGTGTGTGTGTGTGTGTGTGTGTGTGTGTGTGTGTGTGTGTGTGTGTGTGTGTGTGTGTGTGTGTGTGTGTGTGTGTGTGTGTGTGTGTGTGTGTGTGTGTGTGTGTGTGTGTGTGTGTGTGTGTGTGTGTGTGTGTGTGTGTGTGTGTGTGTGTGTGTGTGTGTGTGTGTGTGTGTGTGTGTGTGTGTGTGTGTGTGTGTGTGTGTGTGTGTGTGTGTGTGTGTGTGTGTGTGTGTGTGTGTGTGTGTGTGTGTGTGTGTGTGTGTGTGTATGAATTTGCATGTAACTTCCGTTAGCGTGTTCCAGTACTCAAAAAAGGGGGGTAGTCAGGGGTATGTATCACACCTCATCAGGTGCGTAATCCCCTTGTGATGACTGCTCAAAGATTCGGAGTTTTTATGTTAAAATTAAGTTGTTTTTTTTTTGAAAAATCGTGAACCCTCTTTGTTAGGAAACAATTAGCATACGCCGTAACTTGCCAGAAAACTTGCTTGCGGATTTCCGCAATTAACATCTATAATTGCGGAATAACCGAATACAGCAACTTTTACCTCATATCTCCGTCAACATGTTTGGAGTCGAGCTCCTCCTCACCATCATCCACGTGGCCGCACTCGCGGCATGCTGCAGGACGAAAGTCCCGAGGAAAAAGGTATGGTCAGCTTGCCTAGCGGTCTGGAGCATTCTCACAACTCAAACTATCTTTTCACATTCTTGCTCATACTTCCGTCGACCAGTCTGAAAACCACGAACCATTCGGCTTATTTTCAGCCGGAGAACCGGTCGTCGCGCGTCCGGCGCGGTGTTTTCCGGCTCAACCTCAAGGTAAGAGAACTCAAGTCTTTAATGAGAATCCAAGAATAAGCCTAGCAACTAATCTCTAGAGAAAGGTCAAGCAGTTCAACGTATTAGAGGGACTGGAAACGATAAAAATGGGGATCTACAACTATCTTTTGTAGTCCACCAACCTCGAGAACGACTACAAGGGCAGCCGTACTACTGATGAGCTGCCGTCGGACGAGAACGCCTCTAAAAAGGTCAAGCAGTTCAACGTATTAGAGGGACTGGAAACGATAAAAATGGGGATCTACAACTATCTTTTGTAACAGCACATCCTCTCCAAAAACAACATCTTGTCATGGTCCTTTTGCAGTGCGGGTCATACGCTGTGCTGATCTCACCGACGCGGATGGTGAGCTATGGATTCGAGAAGGCCGACCGCACCAGCGTGCGAATCATCGACTTGGAGGGAGAAACCATCGGAGATTACAGCATTAGCCATGAGGTTAGAATTTAGGAATTCTAAGGGTACCGTGGGTCTAAGGGCAAAGCATACCGATGGATTTTTATTTCAATGATTTGCTTATGTATCGGGCCGATGCATCGGAACGAAACCCGTGCCAAACCTGTCATTGGGTAATTGATTGACGCGATGGAACCGGAACCGGCACGAAAATCTATAAGCGTGTTTTCCCATCTCTTTAAAGGCCCCTGTCAAGCTGCAATTGGTGAAAAAGCAAACAATCATGCACCAGGCGGGGGCCGAACCAGGGATGCTCCACCCCACAGCCCAAGTTGCTAGCCGACACACCACGAGGCCAAGCGGGCGGGGGTGGCGAAAGGGCTTCAAAACAATTTGGGTCTGCGCGCTCACCGTTTTCCCTTTTCTTGCCTTCACCTGCGCCGAAATTTCACTTTGCATAAAAATTACGAATTCGTGACATGAATTACGTCGATAGTAGTCCCCCGTCGGTCCCTCACAGTCCACCGTTCATCGTTGTCCCCTCCATCCAAGGGTCTTTAAAGAGCCGCATTGAAATTTGGCTGAGAGCAATACTGGGTGTCCCATAAAAAGCACCCCCCTCTAACGGTCCGGGGGAAGCTCAGATCAGGATAATTTTTATACCATTCGAAAGCTCTCGGAAAGGCGAGAAAAAAAGCGGGATTTATTTTATGAGATTTATTTTTATACGCTGGATATTCAACGTTTTTCTAAAAATCAGGTTGATTTTCAATAGGAATTTCGCGATTAGCATGCAGATCTCGCGTAAATCAGCCGTTTCCATGGTTTTTGGACGTAAAGTTTGCTAATAAAAATAGATAATAAAGAAAATGAACCCTCCTTGTTTTCTAGCCTTTTCAAGAGCTTTCGATAGATACCTAACGATGAAGGTCGGACATGACGCGCGCCAGCTATTTTTTAAAGTTGGCTTTTAGGAGAACGAGCCGATTGAGTGTCCCCGCGGCGAACCTTCTGCTTCCGGACCACAGGTACGTTTCAATATCGCGTTGATACTGAAGTCGATCATCGTGCAAGGCTCTGTATACGTCTTCCCAGCGCTTGTTGCCGGGCCTCTTTCCGTATATTCGCGGTCCTAGAGCGTGGTAATTTGGAGAGAACTACACAGGTCTCCCACTTTTTGCGCCTTATCTTTCTCCTGATGATTCTCAAACCCTCAAAATTTTGTACAACCTGTTTTTCTTTGACATATTTTGTAATGATCGAAAGCCATAGTCCTGCTTCGCACATCCGTTTAAAGTGGTGGCAAATTTGGTTCTGGGTTCTGGTCGGGGAGGCGAATTTTTCAAGCCTGCCCCCCGTAGGCGTAATGAAACGTTGGCATCTGGACCACGAAAATTACCTAAAACCGGCTTTGACTTTGTACAGGGTGTCCCAAAAAGCACCCCTCCCCCTAGCGGTCCAGAGAAAGCTCGGACCGGGATTGTAACTACGCCATTCGAAAGACGAGAAAACAAGCGGTTTGCGTTTTCTTAAATAATTTAGCGTTTTCTTGATATTAAACGTTTCGCTGAAAACGCGTGTTTTTTTAGTGCCAATTTGCAATTAACATGCGGATCTCGCATAAATCAGCTTTTTTCCACAGTATTTGCTCAGAAAAATGCGCAATTGAATTATCTGATCTAGAAAACGAAAAGTGCTTGTTTGCTCGCCTTGTCGAGTGCTTTCGATAGCTAACTAAATCGTGAAAATCGGACATGACTGTGGACAGCCTGAGGGGATGCTTTTTTTGGGACATCCTGTATGATGTATTTTATCGACATTCGGAAAACGCCACCTGACCGCGAAGCGTAGCCACCTTGAACCCTCGTATTTCATTAAATGCCAGATCCGAAGGTGTAAAATATATCTCCTTGGAAAAACGTAGCTGCTTACAGAACCCCTTTAAAATATCGGATACGGTTTACTCCCCCCCAACCGGAAGGTTTTGGCCGGAGCTTTCTTAGAAGGTTTTGGCTGGAACTTTCTTAATTTACATTATTGTGGGCCGAAATTAAAACTCTTACTATATTTTTCGACGCTCTATCGAATGGCGTTGAGAAAATCCCGAAAAAAGCGGCAATATCGAAAACTTTGAGGCCCTCCATATGTTCTTAGGCGTTCTGACATGATGCGCTTACAGCTTGCTGCCGATCCATTAATCGAGACGACGCGAACGGCGCTTGGACGTTGGGCCCAAGGAGAATATTCAGGCCAGCTTTTGCGAATGACGCTCTACGAAGAGGTAACTGGCGGAACAATATATTTTATCTTAACCATACGTTGAGTGGCTGTTGCTGATCACCTTGGCCAGTTACCTCACCCAGAAGCTCGGAGAGCGTGAAAACCGGGTGGGTGCTGATTTACAATCGGCGTTCCAACCAGCTTCGCGCATTTTGAGCGTTGGAATGTCGACTTGGCGTAATACAGCGTGCAACAAAATGATAGAGCCACTACGTCTTTGGGCCTTTAACTCCGCGCAGCCGTATATTGATGCTTAGTGTTCGAGGTACACCGTGTCGCTCCTGAACAGACGCATCTTTCCGCATAGCTCAAATTATTATACGACGTATATTAGAATTTTGAAGATGCAACAAACGCTTCGCGACTTTTCAACGCTGGGCCCATCTAGGACCCTTGATAATATGCAGTTTGCATACAATACGGGTTCCAAAAAATGGAAAAAGGTAGCTTCTGCCTCTTTTATATAAGCTACTCCACTTCCGGTGTAATTCCCCCTAACAGATAGCGCTAGCCTATTTTACAAAAACTTCATTTTAATAGCGAAAATCGCCGAATTTGTCAAAATTGACATGTGTTCAGTCATCTTGAGACCATTGCACACCTAATGACATATCAAAAAACCCGTTAACTTTTTCCTCTATCGAGATAGAATCCGGATAACCTGAGGGAAGTTGCATGCAAATGCACACACTGACACTATTTTTTATACCAGATGGTTATAGTCGCTTCGCGACTGCAACCATCTGGCCTTCGGGCTACCCTACATGTCCCACTCCACCACATCCTTTCCCACCTCCATCAATACCCCCCATAGCCGAAATCCCCTTCAAAAACTACCTAAATACCTTCCCGATGCCTTTAGATACCCCCATGGCATCAGATTTCACAAAATCTACCATTTCCGAGATCCTACTATATATAAAAAAATAGTTCCTGTGTGTGTGTATGTATGTGTGTGCATTTGCATGCAACTTCCGTCAGCGTGTTCCAGTGGTATCGGATTAGCGGAAGGACTTGAAGGTATATATGATAGGTCATTAGATGCGTAATGGTCTAGGGATGACTGCACACATATCAACTTTTTGAAAATATACTGTTTTCGACATAAAAATTCAGTTTTTCTTGAAAAATTGGTCACCCCTCTTTGTTAGGAAACGATTAGCATGCGCCGGAAGTGGTGGAAGGCTATATAACGGAGAGAGGCAGCCTTTTTTCATTATTTCTGATCGCGATTGGCGCGAATTATGCAAAGTGTTGAATTTCATGGTTTTGGGACGGGGCCAGGCCGCTTCGCGACTTTTCAACCCTGGTTAAAATCAAGTTTTTATTTGAAAAAGCGGCTGACCCTATTTGTCAGGAAAAATTAGCATACGCCGGAGGTGGGATACGTCATAGAAAAGGCTGAAGCCAATTTTTGCCATTTTCTGGAGCCTGATGTATGCAAATTAGATATTACCATAAGTCGCAGACGGGGCTTGGGTTGAAAAGGCTTTTCAACCCCCTTTTCTGCTCAAAACCTGATTTGATTGAAGAGAACCCATTCCCATGACAATTACCATGGCTCAATTTGTCTGTTCTTTATCCCAAAAACCTTCATATCCGTCGTTGCAAAATTTCAGCTATACGGAAAGCAGCGACTTTTCAAGGGCTGCAAAGGCGTACATACCTCGCTAAGCATTGTAATACGGCTGCGCGTAGATAAGGGCCCAAAAATCTAATAGCTCTATCATTGAGATACACACTGTGTGGGTGTCGGTTCGTGCATGTACCCTTGAGTTGCCTTTTAGATGCGCACGGCCTTCGACGACATGATTGCACAGCTCATGACGCTCGGAAAACCGCTTCCCGCTGATCGACTTCTGGCTGTGACGACGGTGAGGCTGCCCTTGCGGCGGGAACGTGGCAGCCTACGGCCAAATCCATTCGTCCAGCCAGCCAAGCACTGATTAAGGGGATATTCGGCTTCCTTTGGAAAAAAATGATGCTATTCCGAATTCGTTTTCCAAATTTGCTGCGGACTTCACTTGGCAAGCACAGGGCGGCGGTTCGAATCGCGCCCTGCACAACTACGTTTGCTTTTTGCACAAAAATACATTAGTTCTTGCATAAAATCGTGCTTTGACTTCTAAAACCGTTATCGGGTCAGTTTTCACGCTGAATATGACGAAAACTTAAAAATAACGCAAAAAAACCCGATTTTGACAATTTTTTAGACTTGAATAACTTTTTTAAATATTCGGCAGCAGATTGGGAGACCGGATTCGGAACAAGTCCCATTAAGCTACTCGACATTGCGGGACCTGTACAAAACATTCCGTCCCCCCCGATAACGGGACAGAACCGCCGATTTTACAATAAAAACTTTATTTTAATACCGAAAATATAATTTAACTAAGGTGTTAACCCCATTTTACTGGAACAAGACCAACTTCCGTTGCAGAGTGGCCACATCGATGATTCGCATCAGGGCCCAAAGCTGTCCCCAAACGACGACCGTGAATGGATAAAAGCCGAAAGTCAAGCACAGGCTCGTGCCGAACTCGTACGCGAGTCGAGCGAAGAAACCATTTTCAAGGTATGTGGCCCTTGGATTCGCCGGTGGGACCAACTTTTTTTTACTGGCGGCCCAGGTTAGCCTCGCAATCGAAGAACCATTTTTAATAATGTTTTTTTTGGCATGTGAACTATATTTGGGGTAGAAAAACCGTTATTTCGATATAAAACATCTAGGCGTCGTCCGGAAGAAGTTGGTCCCCGGCATGTTTTGAAGGCATACATATGTCGGCTACGCGGGGGGACAATTTTACGCGGGGGGCGGACGGGGGGGGACAGACTGTTGGGGCGACCTAACTATTTTTTTGCGTTTCTTTTTGCTACAAACAAAACTCTTGGTATATTTTTCGACGCTCTATCGAATGACACTAAATAAATTTTGTAAAAATGTGGAAAATGTCGAAAAATTGCTTCCCTTCCATGTCCTCCATGGAAACAACGTTTAATACTTGTTTTTATCATAACTATTTTATATTACATTATTTCGAACTAAAGTTAAAGCCCTTAGTATATTTTTAGATGCTCTATCGAATTGCTTCTTTAAAATGTCGAAAAAAGCGGAAATGCCGAAAAACAGCGGCTCAACCCGATTTTCGAAGCTTAATTTTGTATTTGCAATAGAACCGACATATACCGTTTTGAAGGGTCTGGAATTCAAGGATAGCGTGCCACACGGCACCTCTCAAAGTTTCGGTGCGATTTTAAAACGGGACCTTGAACATCTTTTGCAGAATTTTTGGCTAATTCCGAATCTGTTTGTAAAGACTGCCAATAGCTCGGATTCAAAAGTTATAACGTTTTGAAGTCCATTTTAAGCGAAAATCGCCAAAATTCATGCTCGATTATTTTGATGTTCCTGATTGATTTTCTAATATATACCAGGGTTGAAAGGCCGCTTCGCGACTTTTCAACCCTGGCCCCGTTTACCCCATTTTATCCTTCACTTTGCATAACTGTACTGAATGTAGATGACAAAAAATGAAAAACAACCTCGTCTGTGCATTTATATAGTCGAATCATCACTTCCGGTCTATGCTAATTATTTCCTAACAAAGAAGCTTCCACAAAAACTTAAATTTAATGTCGAAAATGGCTGATTTTGTAAAATTTGATATTTGTGCAGTCATCTCAAGACCATTGCGCACCTAATGGTGTATCAAACATACCCGTAACTTCCTCCCCTATCGAGAAATCCTCCGGACAGCCACACGGAAGTGGATGCAAGCACACACACACACACACACACACACACACACACAAACACTATTTTTTATATATAGTAGGATATACAGGGTGTCCCAATAAAAAAGGTCACGCTGGCATTTTGCTATTTCAAATCCGACCGACTTGACATTTTTGCACAGAGGTGCGCAAGGGAATTTAAAATGTTCACAGAAACTTTCAGCCCGATCGGAACATTAGTTTTCGATTTATTGTAAAAATACTGTTTTTCCCACACTTTAGCTTAATTTTTTCGGCTATCTTTTTGGACTTTGCATCAATTAACATAAATTTCCGGCTCTAAATCCCTCATTCTTCTTAACATCGGCGTCGTTAGCCCTTGTTAAAAAACACTTAAATAGCCTATTTTCGTCCCGAATTTCGCGAAATAAAAAAATACCTAGGATAAAAAAGGGTCGGCGCTTCATTTTCTTTATACATTCCAGGGCTCAATTCCGGCGGATTCCAGGTGAAAAACATAAAATAAAGTTTGTTTTTGCTATAACTCGAAAACTACTGTACCGATCGTGCTGAAAGTTTCTGTGAACATTTTGAATTCCCTTCCGCACCTCTGTTAAAAATTTCAAGTCGATCGGATTTGAAATAGCAAAATGCCAGCGTGACCTTTTTTATTGGGACACCCTGTATATAAAAAATAGCGTGTGTGTGTCTGTGTAGATTTGCATCCACTTCCGGATGTATGTTCCGCTCATAAAGCATCAGGGAAGAAGTTTTCCGACATGTTTGATACGTAATTTGGTGCGTAATGGAGTGGAGATGACTGCCGACTTATTAGGTTTTTGAAAATTTACTATTTCCGAGATTAAAAGGACCTTTGTTAGGCAAAATTTGCATGCACCGGAAGTGGATATTGCCTATAAAATCAGGCTACAGAGGATATTTCCCATTTTTGTCTGCGAGATTTGGGCAGAATATGCAAAGTATTTCTGTGATCGTACCTAGAGGGCCAGGGGTGCAAAGCCGCGGAGCGGCTTTTCAACCCCGGTTGATTTTCTAAAAAAGAATATCGCCAGCTTATTCAGAATCTGTTCTCTATCGCATGAGCTTTTTAATTAAAAAATGTCAAAAATTGAAAAAAATGGCCTGCAATTTCTGTATGGGACTTGGCGAAAAACTGCGTATTTCGCACACGGGTAGACTGCGGCCGAGAAGCACCCATTTTTTCATAAAATATACCATTTGAATCACAAAAAGTGACTATCAGATAGGTTTTTGTGGTAAATTAAAAGAGTAAAACAAAGCAGAGCGACATCATGGCCAAACACACCAAAACAAGTCCCTGGTCCGTGCGGCAGTAGCGCTTTCGCTTTTGCCCGGTAGGTTCGATCCCCGAACACCCGAATTTTGACTTCCCAGCCCCTTTAATGCCCTCCTGTTCGTCGACACCGAGTGATGCGGGGGCCGCGCATGAAAAGCTCTCATTATTGGGTTTCAGCTCTTTTCGGAAGTGTTCGACCGGTTTGTGGAGAACCTGGAGATCGACACGGCAAGGGCACGGCAAGCTGAAGCTGAGAATGCAAATGCACTCACGACTGTAGGGTTCGGGTGGGGGTGGCCGTGTTGCCAATACCATATATACCATGTGCTCAAAAGACACGTGGTTTTCCTTTGTCCATATTGCAAATAACTTGCGGATCCCGCATAAAGCAGCCCCTGGTCACAGTTTTTCGTCATAAAAATGCACAATTAAATCACCGAATCCACAAACATAAAGTGCTTGTTTTCTCGCCCTTCCGAGAGCTTTCCATAGGTACCTAAGTCGTCAAAATAGGACACGACCGCGTGCCGCTAGAGGAGTGCTTTTTGGTAAGATCTGGTATAGTCCAAAGCAAATCTGGTGATTAGAGTGCACTTTACCCCCCCAGCCGGCGCTCAAGTTTTGTATCTCGGCTCCCTGTTGGTCAACAGGTGTGTAAAAACTATACCAAAATGTTCGCCTTGCTCTTGCAAGTATTTTGGTATATTTTACACACCTGTAGAAGAACGGGGAGCCGAGATACGGCAGGTGGGGGGCGCCTGGGGGAACTGCACTGAAGCCAATCTGGCTTTCCTCGGGACCGCTAAAATAGCGTTGGAGTTTTTTTTTGCGAGCACGCTGATCTGAATCTGATTTATCGTTTTTTCAACCCCGACTTTCAGCTGACCGCCGTCAAATTGCACCTGGCGAACCAACGGGAGGCATTGCAGAAATGCGAAAAAACTGTAAGCTCCTCGGATAGCTTTTTCACATAGAATCAAAAGCCCGAAGGTCCAAATCGTTGTCGTCTCAATTTCACCTGCTACCTCGGTGTTGACAGTAATAACGTGGCGCTCGCTCTATTGGAGATTTTGGCTCTCATTTCAGGTTGAAAATCTACCCGGCCATCAAAAGAAGATGTTCAAGCTGATCGAAAAGGGGCTGTCAAAAACACGCGAGGCAGGTTCTTTGAAAAATTGTAGCCGGCGGCTGAGAAGTGGATTTGGGGAAGCCGATTCCAGGCCAACATGTACAAGCATCCGGGTTTTAACTCTACTCGCGGCTCTATTCAAAATATTTTTTAGCCGTCGCCGATTGCCAACCTGATGCGTCCAAGCCGCCCCGTCCAATCCAACAACGACGCAGCCGATGAATCGATCCTCGTGGAGCTCGAAAACAACAAAAGTGGCCACTCGACCCCGCCGTGCAGCCTCAAGTAGACATTGTTTTGTCTGACTGTTTTCGCTTTTCAACGTTTCACGGGTGGGGGGAATCAATGTTTGTCGTTTTCGTTGCCCTCATAGTAAAATATAGTGTTTTAACATGATTTTTAGCAAGTTTTTGGCTATATTTAAGAAAAGAACTTCCAAACATTTGAAAAAGTGCAAAATTTTTCCATTTTTATCAAAAATTTGTATAGTTTATCTGCTTAGAAATAGCTAAAACCCCTTTAGAAGGGCAGCCGCTAAAAAAAAAGAAAAAAGCTGGTAGAAAAAATGCAAAGATATGACTATTATTCAACTTGAAAATACAACTATCTAAAAACTTTCAAAAAGTAAGCTTTTTTGCTCAAAAATCGGTCATTTTTGGTCGAAAAATCGATACTTTTGATTTTTTTTGAAAAAAAATTGTATAGCTGTGACGAGTTCCATTCGCTATGCCGAATTTTGCTATGCCGATTGACGGTGTGCCGATTTCCGCTATGCCGAATTTTCGCTATACTGAATTTTCACTATACCGAATTTTCAGTATACCGAATCTCGCTATGCCGAATTTTTGGTATACCGAATTTACACCATGCCGATTTTCACGATACCGAATTTTCACCATGCCGAATCTTCGCCATACCGATTTTGATAAGCGGTATGCTCCCCATTTTTTTACTATTTTTTCAAATATCATGGGCCTAGAAAGTTAGAGTTAGCCTAGAAATTTCCAAAAACTCGGGCAGATCGTAGGTCCCATAGGCGCAGCAGTTTTTTTGTGGCACCGCAAAGTCCCAGCCGATCTTAGTTATTAATATTAGTAGAGACTATTAGTAGTAGAGTAGCAAAAATTCGGCATAGCGAAAATTCGGCATACCAATAATCGGCATACTGTAAATCGGCACAGCGAAAATCGGCACAGCAAGTATTTACCAGCTGTGACGTCTAGGACAAGTGAAAACCATTTAGAAACACTAACACTATTTATATTTAAACCAACGCCCAAAACCCGCTTCGCGGGCCTTGGGCGCTGGAATGCGGCCTTTGCATGAAAAATTTGACTTTCCGATAGCTCGGGTCCTGCGGACCCCCTTCCCCCGCCCCCGACCAAACCCGCGAGTGCAACTGGCCAGAATGAGTAAATTTGTATTTTTTCACATTATGCAAATTAGCCGCCCAAATTAGCCCATTAGATCGGAAAAAAATCGTCCACCCCCGCCCGATAATGCGAAAGAGCTTGTTTTCCGATCCAGCAAAATTTGCCTTGCCGAAAGGCCCTCGTGTGGTCTACCTGCCTTATCCATGGGTTTTTTTCAGTGTCGTTTGCGTGGATGCGCTCGCCTGCGTCGACGATCCCCCCACTGCAAGCACGGCGTTGTCACCTTTCTCGTGCGTACCACTAATTTTCAGTATTTTTAAATGAGAAAGCTGAACAAAGTGATATTCAAAAATACAAAGATATCGATTTCTCCATCAAAAAATGGGGAATCCTACTATATATAAAAAAATAGTGTCTGTGTGTGTGTAGACACTTTGCATAAAAACCCGGGTTCCAGCCATAACTCGAAGGGGAAAGAATTTTTTGGTCCAGAAATAAGGTAGTTAGGGGTAGTCGAGGGCGTAGATTACTGCACGTTTATCAGATTTTTACTAAAATTTCGTTTTATACCTTATTTTAACGTTTTAAAAACATATGGAAATAGACTAATTTGCATACGAGGCGCTAGGAGCCTCATTTTGGCTTTTGTCGCGCTCGCGGCCGGTTGCTTTTGCTATTTTTTAGGGTTCGCTCTAGCTCTTCGCCCGAATTATGCAAAGCCCAACTTTTAAAGATCCCGCGCAAAGGCCAGGGGTGAAAAGCCGCGTAGCGGCTTTTCAACCCTGGTTTCGATCAAAATTGTAGCATGTCAAAGGTTCAGTTCAGTTAATGTTTCAGAACACTATCGCCCAGCACCGGTCGCTCGCTCTCGACGACCGCTTCGCCGCCGTCCTTCTCCTACACCTCCGGTCTGCCGTCCTCATCTTCATCGGCATCCTCGAAGTGAGGCCTTTTGGCTATGGTCTACTTTACCACCCCCCCCGGCCGGAATGTTTTGGCTATAACTTTTTTATTTTACCTTGTTGTAGGCTCAAATTCAAATGTATAGTATATTTTTCGACGCTCTATCAAATGGCGTTGCAAAAATCCCGACCAAATAAGCGAAAATACCGAAAACTTTGAGACCATTCGGTTGTCGGGGGGGGGGTAAAGAGTAAGCGCGCCATGGCGTCGTAAAAAAATTTAAATCTAATCCTACCCTATATAATTTTGGCGTGTCCGTAGGTGTATGTGTGTGTGCAGCTGTCACTTTCGAGGCCCGATTTGCGGGTCTTTCCCTAGTTAAAATGCCCTAATTCTTCCTTATTTAGGGCGATCGACCCTTCTGTTTCCGATCGCGTTTTCCGAATTTCGACAAAATATACGTTTAGAAAGTTAGAGCCCGTTTTATTCGATTTTGAGATCAGGGAGGGCTAATTTGCATAACGCCAAAAATACAAATTTCCTCGTTCTTGCCAGTTGCTGTTGCGCGTGTGGTCGGGACAAGGAAGGGGGTCCGAAGGACCTGAGCTATCGGAGAGTAAAATTTTTTACGCAAAACGCGGATTCCAAAGTTCCAACCCGCGAAGCGGGTTCTGGGCGCTGGTGACTGGCTTTGACAAAATTGTATAGCTTTTACGTCTAGGACAAGTGAAAATCATTTAGAAACACTAACACCATTTTTATATTTAAAAAATTAGATCGGAAAAAAATAGTCCACCCCCGCCCGATAATGCGAAAGATCTGTTTTCCGATTTTCCGAAAGATCGGCTCTCTTGTTTTCCGATCCAGCAAAATCTGCCTTGCCGAAAGGCCCTCGTGTGGTCTACCTGCCCTATCCATGGTTTTTTTTTCAGTCGCGTTTGCGTCGATGTGCTCGCCTGCGTCGAAGAGCCCCATACTGCAAGCACGGCGATGTCGCCTTTCCCGTGCGTACCACTAATTTTCAGTATTTTTAAATGAGAAAGCTGAACAAAGTGATATTCAAAAATACAAAGATATCGATTTCTCCATCAAAAAAATGGGGAATTTCGATCAAAATTGTAGCATGTCAAAGGTTCAGTTCAGTTAATGTTTCAGCACGCTGTCGCCGAGCACGGGTCGTGGTTTGTCTACCACCGCTTCGCCACCCACCTGGTCTTACACCACCGATTTGCCGTCGTCCTCATCATCTACATCCTCGACGTGAGGCCTTTTGGCTATGGTTTACTTTATCACCCCCCCTCCCCTCGGCCGGAATGTTTTGGCTATAACTTTTTTATTTTACCTTGTTGTAGGCTCAAATTCAAAGGTATAGTATCTTTTTCGACGCTCTATCGAATGGCGTTGCAAAAATCCCGACAAAATAAGCGAAAATACCGAAAACTTTGAGACCATTCGGGTGTCGGGGGGAAAGAGTAAGCGCGCCATGGCGTGGAAAAAAATTTAAATCTATCCTACCTGATATAGTTTTTACGTGAGCGACCCGAGCCCTGCTGGATGCGGCGGCGAGAAGAAGGCCCCAGTCCCGGTTGGCAACCGGGCTGGGGTGGCCCACGAACTCGACATCTACGACATCGCATCTACGAACTCGACAACTACGACAGGCAACGAGCCCAGGTGGGTCATGGCACACGGTTCTGGTCTGTTAGCGGGCGAGGCGGAATTTTTAGCGGGGGAAACCGGCTTTTTGGTTTCCATCCCTACCTGTTGACGAAGTATTATGTATCTTTATCGGGTTTTTAGTAGTGTTTGACCCTAAAAAGTTATAAAAAATTTTTTACGTTTTAAATTAGAAAATTTTGACATTTTTGGTCACAATTCAAAAACTATATACATTTTTTCACCAAAAATTCAAAAACTTTCGAAAACTTGTTTGATCGAAAAGAATTTTTTGTTCTTGTTGGACCTCAAAACTATGTAAAGTGGTAAATGGTTTATAGCTCGTTGCACGGCCGTAGAGAAACACAGGGGGAAATTTGGTTCCCCCAGCTAAACCCCCCGCCCCACTAACAGTCCAGAACCTGGCAACTGCCACTCTGTCGCTTTACACGGCCAATTTTTCAGCGCCTATTCGCCGTCCAAGATGGCCGCCGGCAAGAAGAACAAGATGAAGTCGGCCGACGAGAAGGTAACCAACAAGGAGGTTCGTCTGTTTAAACTTTCGTTAGAAACAAACCGGGGTCGAAAACCCGGTTTAGAACAGTTTATCCCCGAACCGCTTCTGGGTTTGGGAAAAACCGCTTCGCGGCTTTTCAACCCTGGTCGCGCCTAGGACCGATCAAAGAATTCAATTTGCATACTTCTTCCCGAAGGCTAGCAGGAAAAAAGTAGAGGCGGCGAGGCGATGAAGGGGCGGGGGTTGGGCGTTACGCGTGGCGGGTGCGGCAGCTAATTTCATAGCACGCTTTAGCCGCTAACAGGAAAAATGGAAACGAGAGGAAAATCAACAATGGGGTTCTTTCGCATTTTCGAGGAGGTCTAGAAATCCTACTTATAAAAAATAGGTCGTGTGTGTGTAGACACTTGCATAAAAACCCGGGTTCCAGTCATAACTCGAAGGGGAAAGAATTTTTTGGTCCAGGAATAAGGTCGTAAGGGGTAGTCGAGGGCGAGATTATTGCACGCTTATCAGATTTTACTAAAATTTCGTTTATACCTTATTTTAACGTTTTAAAAACATATGGAAATAGACTAATTTGCATACGAGGCGCTAGGAGCCTCATTTTGGCTTTTGTCGCGCTCGCGGCCGCTTGCTTTTGCTGTTTTTTAGGGTTCGCTCTAGCTCTTCGCTCGAATTATGCAAAACCCAACTTTCAAAGATCCCCGCGCAAAGGCCAGGGGTGAAAAGCCGCGTAGCGGCTTTTCAACCCTGGTGTATAGTAAGTTAATAGACCGTATTTTAAAAGTGTGTTTGGTAATCTATAACTATATCTAAGCTAGAAAAATTATCTAAAAACTTTGAAAAATGCTGAAAAAGTGGAAATTTTTATCAAAAATCGGGATTTTTTGGTGGAAATATTGATATTTTTCCTGTTTTTTTTAATAAAAATTTGTAAAGTTTTCACGTTGAGTAATAGCAAAAAAAATTATTGCGAAACACATACCCCCCGATAATGCGAAAGAACCACGCGAGCTGGCATACGCCGAGCAAAGCGGCCCTTCGTTTGAAATTGAATTCGCTCTCGAGCCCCCTGCAAAATGCGGAAACCCCACTTTTTCGATCTCATTCATAACTTTTATAGTGATCTCGTGGCCGCCCACCTCGACCAGCCGCTCAAATACTCGCCCAACTCACCCGAAAACGCCCCGCCGCCGCTGTGCTTGACCCACCTTTTTTTCTATGCTTTTTTACTGTCCAATAAAGGTGCAACCCCGGGACACACGAGTGCCAGAATTACTGCAGAAAATGCGCACGGACAGAGAATTCAGTGCTTGTATCCGGAAACGTTGGAAAGATTTTGCAAAAAGTTTACACTAAAGCGCAATCGTGACAAATTTTACGTCGTAAAGCGAACCCACCTGCTCGGTTTACCGTTTTGAATGCAAGGCAAGTGCTTGCATGCCTAGCGAGGCGCTTGGGTTTGTGTGAGTAAGAGCAAGAGAGAGGGAGCGAGAGCGAGAGAGAAAGCAAGAGAGAGAACGAGAGAGAGAGAGAGAGCGAGAGAGAGAGAGAGAGAGAGAGAGAGAAAGCAAGAGAGAGAACGAGAGAGAAAGCAAGAGAGAGGGAAAGAGAGCGAGAGAGAAAGCAAGAGAGAACAGGAGAGAGAGAGAGAGAGACAGACAGACAGACAGACAGACAGATATCCCATGACGGAGATCGTCGAAGAATTAGTTTCAGAAAACGGTGATGAAGGAAGGGGCTCGCGGGAAAGGTGGTCGGCCAGTCGTCGCAAAGGTAGCCTCACATCTTATGCTTCTCTCTCACTGGCTGACACTAAAATCGGACTAACTAAAAAAACCGCCCTTAAAGCGGCATAAATCGGTGGCTGGAGGCTCCCCTATTCACTGGCTATACAGCTGTTTAGCCACGAGGGGTTTGTGCTCGTTGTGGCCCAGAGGCGGGGGAGCAGGAGATAAATACCCGTTGGACGGCCGTGTCGTGCGAGACATGCGCGAATTCTTTCCGGTGGGTGGCTTCGGTGATGTTTCGCAAACCGTCCTACGCTCCCTACAATCACGCTTACATTAGGGTGGCCACGAAGAAGCTGACGGCTCCAGATTCCGGATGTCCTGGGCGTCCAAACTGCACTCCTGCGAGTAGGATTACATTCATAATGTCAAAATGTCAAAATATCGACAGGCCGTTATCGAAGTTCAATAATATCTAAGCTTCATAATGCCGTGTAAATTTGGCTCAGAGAGGTCTCGCCGAGACCGGCGAAAGTCAAGATTCCGATTAATGCGCTGAGTATATCAAAATGTTGGCCGTGGTCGAATTACTATAAAAAGTTGTTTCTCCCGCTTTGATTCTTTCTTTACATCAAAAATCGCTAGACAATTATCTATAACAATTATAAGCCCAAGTTTTCTTTAGTTAATTGTTGCTGGTCGATAGTGAGTTTTCGTCTCTCGGCTATCTTTAGTCCTACAGAGCTGTCAATGGTACGAAAATGTAGCTTTTGCTCTGTAGAATAAGGCAAGAATAAGGCTTGGAGTCGAAAAAAGCGGAAAATACCGATATTTGAGTTTACGTCCGCTGGTTCATTGAAGCAGAGCGGCTCAATTTTCTCAAATTACAAAACCTTGTAAAAACATTCTAGCAATTTTCGCCGCAAGGAAACAACGTTTCATAATGGCAAATCCGGACAGCATCGCAATTTCAAGATCTTGACAACAGCAATTTTTAGAGCCCTGCAATACGTGCAACTACCCGAATTGGTTGGCCCTGGGATACCGCGTCCCAGAGAAGGTAACGCATTTCAAGTTTCAGCCTTCGTAAAGCGAGCCATGAATCTTCTGATCACACCACCGATTGTTATCTTTATCCAAGTCCATACAAAATGTTAAAATCACTTTTAAAGCGCACGTTTGAGCACGTTTTTGGGCAAGAAACTGTTTTTTTTCTGGCAAATTTGGCAACTTTTGACGTTTTACGGAGTTTTGAGGCAGGGCCGGAAAACTTGTCGCCATTTTAAAGTGATTTCTAACCGTGTTCCTGTGGATTTGGGTAAAAATAAACATTTGTAGTGTGATCAGCGCGAAAAACTGCCTCTGAAAGGCGGTATAGCTAGCCATAGCTGAACTTCGAGCTGAGGAGGTTTCATTGTTAGTTAGGCACTCTTCACACGTCGAACCTTTGTCAAACGCGGCAAGATCCGATCTTTCAGCGCGCGATGCCCTGATCTTCCACCCGCCCACCCGTCAGCAAGGCGGAGTTGCCTCGACGAGCAGCGATTTATCGCGTTAAACACTACTGGCTTTTCCAGTTTTTGGGAATCGTGTTGGTGATTGTATTGGATTGATCAATAAAGACTTTGCTCGTCAAAACTCAAAGAATCCTCTCACAAGGGTTTTTGCATATAGTTAAGCTGGCTTTCTGGCACGGGACCAAGCGCATTTGAGGTAATCGACTATGCTGAGAACGGTGCCGTTTTTAGAAACCGGAAGAGCCTCGTCTCTCGAGATAAATAGCTTTTAAGATTTATATGGCAAACCAGCGGGGGAGGAGCCGCTTCGCGACTCTCCCCCGCTGGACCCCGTCTAGGCCCTATGAATCGAGCGCCCTTCCACATAAAGTTACCCTGAAGTAAGAAAAACGCATCTCCCATGAAAACCTCTTTGTATTGGCATGCTGCGCAAACTTGAACTGCTAGTCTCGTTATTAGGCCTGCGGCGCATGTTTGATCGGCTAGGTCGCTACCTCATCCTGCGGCGCCAGCTTCAGCGGTTTGCTTCGAGATAAAGCCTGTGTCTCAAGCTTGAGCGGTAACCTCCTTCTTTGGCCTGCGACGCTAGCTTCAATGGTTGGCTTTTTTCGTTAGCCTGCGGCGCTAGCTAGTGCGGCTAGCTTCGTTTTGAAGCCTGCGGCGCTACCTTGAGCGGCGGGCTTCGTTCTAAAGCCTGCGGCGCTACCTTGAGCGGCGGGCTTCGTTCTAAAGCCTGCGGCGCTAGCTTGAGCGGCGGGCTTCGTTCTAAAGCCTGCGGCCCTAGCTTGAGCGGCTGGCTTCGTTCTAAAGTCTGCGGCGCCAGATTGAGCGGCTAGCTTCGTTCTAAAGCCTGCGGCGCTAACTTGAGCGGCGGGCTTCGTTCTAAAGCCGAGCGGCTGGCTTCGTTCTAAAGCCTGCGGCGCTAGCTTGAGCGGCTGGCTTCGTTCTAAACCCTGCGGCGCTACCTTGAGCGGCGGGCTTCGTTCTAAAGCCTGCGGCGCTACCTTGAGCGGCGGGCTTCGTTCTAAAGCCTGCGGCGCTAGCTTGAGCGGCGGGCTTCGTTCTAAAGCCTGCGGCCCTAGCTTGAGCGGCTGGCTTCGTTCTAAAGTCTGCGGCGCCAGATTGAGCGGCTAGCTTCGTTCTAAAGCCTGCGGCGCTAACTTGAGCGGCGGGCTTCGTTCTAAAGCCGAGCGGCTGGCTTCGTTCTAAAAGCCTGCGGCGCTAGCTTGAGCGGCTGGCTTCGTTCTAAACCCTGCGGCGCTAGCTTGAGCGGCGGGCTTCGTTCTAAAGCCTGCGGCGCTACCTTGAGCGGCGGGCTTCGTTCTAAAGCCTGCGGCGCTAGCTTGAGCGGCGGGCTTCTTTCTAAAGCCTGCGGCCCTAGCTTGAGCGGCTGGCTTCGTTCTAAAGTCTGCGGCGCCAGATTGAGCGGCTAGCTTCGTTCTAAAGCCTGCGGCGCTAGCTTGAGCAGCGGGCTTCGTTCTAAAGCCGAGCGGCTGGCTTCGTTCTAAAGCCTGCGGCGCTAGCTTGAGCGGCTGGCTTCGTTCTAAAGTCAGCGGCGCCAGATTGAGCGGCTAGCTTCGTTCTATAGGCTGCGGCTTGAGTGACTTACTTCATAATAACGTCCCTACACGGAAATCCACTCCGAAACGCACTTTCCGAGCAAAAAGCAAAACAACTAAAATATCCGAGGATCGATCCTCCGATGGTTAGATTAGCACGGCGAAGCGCTAACCACTACTCCATGCAAATCTTGGCAGCACGCGTCAAACACCCGTTTTATGCCTCAAGAGGACTGCCCGGGGCAGGGGAAGTAAAGGCATCGAGAGGCAGATCCAAAGAGACGACCAAACTCGCGAGTGCAACTGGCAAGAATGAGGAAATTTGTATTTTTTTCACATTATGCAAATTAGCCCTCCCGGACCCCCAAAAATTAGTAAACCGGCTTTAACTTTGTAAACTTGTATTTTATCGGGATTCTGAAAGCGCCATCGGAAAGAGGAGGGTCGATTCCCCCGGGTGACGGAGAATTAAGGCATTTTGGACACGGGAAGGCCCTCAAATCGGGCCTCGAAAGTGACATCCACACACACACACACACACAGGGATACACTCCAAAATTATATAAGGTAGGATCATGGTTTGGCGAGGACCTGGCCCACTAGTTCGGCGTACCCGCATGAACCCTCCCCAGACACCCACTCCCATCGGCCTGGCGGCCCAGCGGTTAGGTGTTCGGTCAAGCACGGGGGGTGTGGTTCGACTCCGGACGCGGTCATAACTTTTTGCTTTTTGCTTTTCAAGCACATTGAAGAGAATGATACTGCCTGCAAAGCTTTCACGATGTGATTTTTGGTTCATTTTATTCTACACGAAGCCCAGGACAAGAAAAGCTCATTTCAAAAAAAATTTGTTGAAGTCATGCTCAGCGTATGTTTGAAAAGATTTTGAATTATTTTTGTCCTGGGCTTCGATTAAAATAAAATGAACCAGAAATCACTCGTGGAAGCTTTGCAGGCAGTATCATTCTCTTCAATGTGCTTGAAAAGCAAAAAGCAAAAAGCTATGACCGCGTCCGGAGTCGAACCACAGCCCCCCGTGCTTGATAGGCGAGCACCTAACCGCTGGGCCACCAAGCCGATGGGAGGGGTGGGGTGTCTGTGTCACTGTGTCTGTGTCACTTTCGAGGCCCGATTTGAGGCCCTTCCCGTGTCCAAAAATGCCCTAATTCTCCGGCACCCGGGGGAATCGACCCTCCTCTTTCCGATGGCGTTTTCAGAATCTCGATAAAATACAAGTTTACAAAGCTAAAGCCGGTTTCATTGATTTTTGGGGGTCCAGGCAGGCTAATTTGCATAATGTGAAAAATACAAATTTCCTCATGCTTGCCAGTTGCACCCGCGAGTTTGGTCGTCTCTTTGGATCTGCCTCTCGATGCCTTTCCTTCCCCTGCCCCGGGCAATGCCCAAAAGGGGTTTTTGGCACGTGCTGCCAAGCATTGCATGATGTAGTGGTTAGCGCTTTGCCGTGCTAATCTAACCATCGGAGGTTCGATCCTCGGATATCGCAGTTGTTTTGCTTTTTGCTCGGAAAGTGCGTTTCGGAGTAGACTTCCGTGTAGGGACGTTATTATGAAGTTAGTCACTCAAACCTGCGCCGCAGCCTATAGCATGAAGGTACCCTCTCAAGCTAGCGCCGCAGACTTTGGAACGACGCCAGCCGCTAAAACTAGCGCCGCAAGCTTCGGAAGGAAGTTAGCCGTTCAAAATTGCGCCGCAGGCTAAGGAGGCTCAATCTTGCGCCGCGGGCTTTCGAACGAAGCTAGCCGCACTAGCTCGCGCCGCAGTCTTTAGAACGAAGCTAGCCGCACAAGCTAGCGCCGCAGTCTTTAGAACGAAGCTAGCCGCACAATCCAGCGCCGCAGGCTTTAGAACGAAGCTAGCCGCACAAGCTAGCGCCGCAGGCTTTAAAACGAAACTAGCCGCACTAGCTAGCGCCGCAGGCTTAAAGAAGGAGGTAACCGGTCAAGCTAGCGCCGCAGGCTTTATTCCGAAGCAAACCGCTCAAGCTGGGGCCGCAGGCCAAAAAAGGAAGCTAAACCCTCAAGCTTGGGCCGCAGGATGAGGTAGCGACCTAGCCGATCAAACATGCGCCGCAGGCCTAATAACGAGACTTGCAGTTCAAGCTTGCGCCGCATACCAATACAAAGAGGTTTGCATTTGAGATGCGTTTTTCTTTCTTCAGGGTGACTTTATGTGGAGAAGGGCACTCGATTCATAGGGCCTAGACGGGGTCCAGCGGGGGAGAGTCGCGAAGCGTCCCCTCCCCCGCTGGTTTTCCATACAAATCTTAAAAGCTATTTATCTCGAGAGTCGAGGCTCTTCCGGTTTCTAAAACGGCACCGTTCTCAGCATAGTCGATTACCACAAATGCGCTTGGTCCCGTGCCAAAAAGCCAGCCTAACTATATGCACTTCCCTTGTCAGCAAAAAGGCAAAAATCTGGATTTTTTTTTGTTATTTTGGAGTCGTCGTCACTTTCAACGTGTAAACTCCCGCGGTAATGGTTTCAGAGTGCAAAGCTCCATTTTTATGCAAAAAATCGCGTGTTTCGAGCAAAGAGCAAAAGTAGATGTGCAGGGCGGGGGTTGAGCCGCCGTCCTGTGCTTGGCAAGCGAATACCTTACCAATGCACCATGGTGCCAACTGCGTAGGCGGCTTTGGGAGGGTAGCTAATCGCACTGCCATACCTGGATCCAGGCAGGGAATAGCGGGCCAGCATCAAAAAATTCTTCCAAAGATTTGAGAAAGATTCCAAAAGCCCAGCCTGAGTGAAACACTTCGCAGTCAGTTCGTTTCCGTTTACTTCTCCTCTTTAAAACACGCTTTTTTAGCTCAAAGAATCCTCTCAGTTTGTCGAAACCCTCATCTTCGTCCTGTCAGTTCGTTAAAACCCGCTTTTTTTAGCTCAAAAAATCCTCCCGTTCGTCGAAACCCTCCTCTGCGTCCTCTCAGTTCGTTAAACCCGCTTTTGCCTTCCCTCGCCCTTGAAAATTTGTTGAAAATCCATAACACTAATTGATCGATGCCTTCCCTCGCCCTTGAAAATTTGTTGACAATCCATAACACTAATTGATCGATGCCTTCCCTGGCCCTTGAAAATTTGTTGAAAAATGATAACACTAATTAGGAGCAGCCTTCTCCCGCCTTGAAAATTTGTTGAAAATCCATAACCCGCTTTTTTTAGCTCAAGGAATCCTCTCATTTCGTCGAAACCCTCCTCTTCGTCCTCTCAGTTCGTTAAAACCCGCTTTTTTTAGCTCAAAGAATCCTCTCAGTTCGTCGAAACCCTCCTCTTCGTCCTCTCAATTCGTTAAAACCCGCTTTTGCCTTCCCTCGCCTTTGAAAATTTGTTGAAAATTCAAAACACTAATTAGGAGCTGCCTCCTCTCGCCCTTGAAAATTTTTGAAAATCCAT